TCACATTTCTTTGACATAGTTTGATTCATTGATGTTGACTTAGTGTTATCCCCTTCACAACTACAATGATGGAATCTATTAGCTGGGCAGCAGTGTGGCAAATCAGCACAGGGAAACCACCATAAGACATAAATCCTAGTTGGAGGCACATGGGTATGTAATCTGTGCTGCATTTCTTAATTGGATACAAGCTAAGTTAAGCACATTAATTGGGAATGTACTGTGGCATGCCTTCTTTTGGAGCTAGCCCAGGTGGTTAATATTCTGCAGTGAATGGGATATTATAGAGGAATGTGGGTCTGTTTTAAATGTGTGTTTGATGCGGGTTCCATTGCCAGCAGCATTTTGGAAAAGGACGTTAAGCTAAATTGTCAAACTAAGCAGGGGTGTAAAATGCGTTGTCTAGTGAATAGAAACAGTTAAAGTATGGTTTGAATAACATTTTTCTGTTGCTGAAAAATGAAATAATCTCCTAATCAAAGGCCTTTTGTTGCTTCACATGTGCCATATGGTAATACCAATATGATACGCACACAGTTTGGACTGTTAATGATGAGAAAATCATTCGTAGCTTGTACAGTGGTTTTGTTTCCATGTCTATATCAGCAGGAGGATGTTGATATTAGTCCCATGTGTCCTAACTGATTAGCTTTAGCTCCACTGGAAGGGCCTTGTAATTTACAGGGCATTATATTTGGCAAAAGTGGCACGTGCCAAGGAGAAATTGTGTTTTGAAAGCAAGCTCCAATCAAGCATTCGCTCCAAGGCCAAGAATAGATGGCTTTTCTCATTTTAGAGACTCATAAAGACCTGAAACCCTACTTAGTGATTAAAGAGCTTCGCTTGCTCCAGGTTTGTTCTCTTGGCGGCACAGGTCTGTCCCATGAGGGCATTTCAGTAGGTAGATTTCTGGAAAAGTTCCTGAGGAGGTCTTGACTTTGGTGTTGGTTGTTTTCCTATAGAATTGCCCACAATAGAGTGGAAAGGAAGACTTCTCCTGTTCACGTCCTGTGGATGGCATCAATCCCTTCTCGATCCTCCGTCTCCCAGGCGCTCTCAAGTTTTCCAGTCAGTTAAGGGGAGAAGTCCAACACTGAGGTTGCCTCCCAGGCAGGTCCCTGGGGAAGGTGGTGGAGGGCTCTGCGCCCTGTGATTGATGGACCAGACCTCTCAATCATTTTAGAAGAACAGCCCCAGGCCGGGTGGTCTGCGGGCTGATTGTACCAAATTAGCAATTAAAGATCTCTGTACGGCCGAGAAACCCATCTGAATATAAACTCTCTCCGTTCTCAGCCTCCTGCCTCCTTCTCTTTTTACTTTCTCTCTCATTTTGCATAAGCTGTGCTGGTCCTTTCATTTTAATACCCTCAGCAGGGCCCTGCATGGAGCAATGTTACTTTAATGTTTAAAAGAGGGATTTATTCCGATTAAATTTAGGACAGCACCATCTATCAAAAAGCTCAGAGGGATTTGAATTACACTTTCAGGTCAGGGAATTTGAGCAAATATTATTGAACAGTTGCCAGTGGAATTCACAACACCATTGAATGGAGACGGAAAATAAATTAGTAAGGGGTGACAAAGTCTTTTGTTGAACAGGGCTAAATGGATATACAACAATTGTAAGCTTCTATCTGTGGATAAAGACCAGTCTGGGTCTACAGTCGTGGTAACCAAGGGGGACACTAATGATGCGAAGCTTGAGATCACTGTTGCAGGCCACTGCCTACAATAACTGTAGAAACAAGCATGAGAACGTACACATAATTAAATCCTTACCTAATTCATATTTTTTTGTTATCAAAATTATATAGCCATGTTTTCTTAGATTTGTATTCCTGGTGTTCATTATCTTGTCTTTAGTTGAATGTCTAGAAGACATGGTACTGATTTGTTGGTACAGGAGTCTTAGAATCAGACACAACTACAGTAAATTATAACACTTTGCATTAAAATAATATAATAAATCAAACAGCAGGATTCTTTGTATCATGTATACATCACACAAAGGGCATCTAGTATTTACTCTGATTTTTAAACCACAACTACAATCGAATTCCCCTGAGGGAACAAAATAAAGATCTACTGAACTAAACTCATCATGACCGAAAGAACGAGATCGCGGATACAAGCGGCCGAGATGGGTTTTCTCCGCAGGGTGGCTGGTGTCTCCCTTAGGGATAAGGTGAGAAGTTCGGTCATCAGGGAGGGACTCGGAGTTGAGCCGCTCCTCCTTCGCGTCGAAAGGAGCCAGTTGAGGTGGTTCGGGCACCTAGTTAGGATGCCACCTGGGCGCCTCCCTAGGGAGGTGTTCCAGGCACGTCCAGCTGGGAAGAGACCAAGGGGTAGACCTAGGACCAGGTGGAGGGATTATATCTCTTCGCTGGCCTGGGAGCGCCTTGGGATCCCCCAGTCAGAGCTGGTTGATGTCGCCAGGGAAAATAAAGTTTGGGGCTCTCTGCTGGAACTGCTTCCCCCGCGACCCGACCACAGATAAGCGGGAGAAGATGGATGGATGGATGGATGAACTAAACTCAGATTACACACATTTTTAAATGCATGATGCAAATGAGGAAATATGAAGTAGAATCAGCCAAATTTGATCCCATGTGCAAATAAAGTTTTACGAAATATATAATGTAAACCTGTCAGGTATATGTGGAAACATGCCAACTTTTCATCACCTATAATTAGGTCTTAAAGACTTTTACAACATCTCAGTGTTTTCTCTCATACAGTTTTGAGGCAAGCAGAGTTTTGAAATGATCTACTTCTCATGTTCATGTTGAAGTTGTTACAGACTGCAGAGGTCCTCACCTCCCTGCTAATAAGCTTTATTGAGACACCCGGACCTCCCCCACTGGGCTTCCCTTGGCATATGCGCACTGCTGTCACTCAGGCCAGACTTTCACTGATCCCATCGCTGCAGGAGGGCGTGCCCACGTCCCTACCACGACAGCTCATTACTCTGAAAGGGGGATTATGAGGGTGCGGAGGAAGATGAGGAGGTGGGCAGACGGAACAGAGGCGTCACTTTGACACAGTTCCCCCCTTTTTCCCGTTGCCCCCTTCATGCTGACCCACTTCTGCTTTGACAACCCTCAGGTACATTGACCCTGCCTGGTCCACTAGGTCACAGCAGGACCAAAACATAACTCAGCTTCCAAGACAGCGTTCCCAAAGCCTCCATGTGGCACACATTCCAGTCGCTCCTGGGAAAATGTCACAAACTCATGACTGATTGCCGGGTTGTGCGTTGACGGTAGATGTTTACAGGATTGCTGTGTTGGTATCCCGTACCTATTAAAAGTGCTTTTTTATGGCCTCTGGGTTTGGAACCTCAACCCACATGGTACCTAAGTATTTCCAGTTACCAGCTTCTCAAACAAATAGCAAATACAGATTCAATGTATGTGTTTGGGTGGCGTAGGTGACTGGTCTTGTCTGGACCTGTTTTCCAGCAGACAGGCATCCAAATAGTCATTTACATCAGCCACAAACGCAGAGCAATTTTTCCCAGCGCACTCTGCCAGGGGAAGAAATCTGTTTTCTTTGCTGGCAGGGCTGTGACCGTATTTCTCGCATGCGTCACCTCTGTTTTCAACTCTTCGTCGCTGTGGCAGCGGGTTCAAAGCATGCTTACCGTGCTACCATACTTTGGTATTATCTTGTTTTTTCTAGCCATGGGGTAAACTCAAGGATTGTCATCACTGTCATTTGTTCCTGTTTTCTGTTAGTGGGAAATGTTGGAAACGAGGACTTTTTTTCTATGTCTGCTTTCATTGGGTTATGATGTAAGTGAAAAATAGATGTGAAGATGTATTGCACCATGATAAACATATTTTTAAATAGTGACCCTTGTTCAACATTTTAAAAAGTTGAATTACTTTTTATTTCATTAATTTGAACATGCTGGAATATACACTACATATGCAGCAAATTGTATTGTAGCATTTTTTTATAAAATACAATTCTACCATAATTCCTTTAAGCTGTATGATGATTGTAATGTGAATAGGCTGTAACAGTGAGAAACAGTTCCGTCATGCTATAATGTATGCTGGGTTTTTTTTGTAGAGCTTTCTACACCCAAACACATTTTCCACTCCAAAATCAGAGGTTAAATCATCCCCTTTCAACACGATATCAAGCAAAATTCTTTACCTCGGTTTAGGTCATGGAAAGATCTGCTCCTAATAATCGCCCTGTCTCTGTTTGGAAACGTATAGAACCTCGTACACATCCGCTCTATCTCTCTGTCAAACACACAGATACAGACACTCATCACAATTTCTTCTTTGCCATGTAATAGTCACATTGACCTCTCATACATACATGAATGGATCAGGCTGGGGCTTGTATGAGTAATGACATAAGGTTTTCAGGCCTCTGTCATTATCGCCGCTCTGTGTTGTTTACTTCTGCATAGCTCTAATACACACACCTGAAGCACACATCATAAGGTTTTATTGCTTTGGCATACCAGGCAGAAAGAAGCATTGAGCCGATCACCTCCCTGCGAGACGTACATCAGTCTTCCTCCTCGTGTGCACAGTTAAAGTATTAGTTTCGTGTTTCCCTAGATTCGCACTGTGGTTGATGATAGAGGTCAGGGCTGTCACGGAGGCTTCCTCAACATATTTATGATGTAAGCACTTCCTTCATCAGTCCCTAAGGGTTGAGGAGAGTAATAGGTAATATGATTATAAATGACGTCAAGTGTTATCCTTACATTCTGCTGGTTGGCAGTGCTGTCTTATAAATGCGGTTGATGGGGATCCATTTCCACACACTCACTCTGGAGTCCCACGAGGCCCAGCTGTGGGTCCCCTCATTTTTCCTCTCGCCAAGATGCTCACATCTGTAAGTTATATGGTCCCCTCCTAAAGCCGAGTTCCTCTTATCCCTTTTCAATGAATGCAATGCTTTGTGACAGAGAGGCTCTGCACTTTAAGATAATTTTGCTCCTCTAAAGCCCTGCTTTCTCTTTCTGTTTGCAGCATATGCAGTGATTAGAAACGGACAAGTGGAATGTTCCAAAGGATTCAAACGGATGAATCTCACACACTGTCAAGGTAAGCTCTGAAATATGTTGGGCATCGTGTATCTAGTTTAATATATTCTGATTGTTATATGATGTAAACCACTGCATATTTTAATAAGCAGCTAAGCCATTGCAAAAAACTGAATTTAAAAAAATAAAATGGCATGGATGTGATAAAACGTTACTGCCCATATGTTTCCATGCTTACTTCTGGCCCTGGGGAGCTCTATAAAAGTATGCCTTGCTGTACGTCTGGCCCCTATGAGAACCAGGTCAAGTCAAGGGTACAATTAGCCTCAGTCCAGGGTCAGAGTACAGCAGCCAATAAGCACCTGGGGCTGCTGTTTTAATTGGTCTTTGGGGTTCTGACTGGAGAATGGTACGGCAGGGTGTGATTATGGTAAATGTGGCTCTCTGAGTATTTGGAAAGGGAGCTTTAGTTGCAGACCTGTTTGTCACTAAGCAGCCCTATTTGTGCCAGCAGAATAAAAAACAGCAGAACTGCCACCTCACCAAGCCTTCTGTGTAAAAACAAAAATATTCCCAGGCAAACATTGCGTTTTCGTCTACGGCAGCATCCCAGAGGTGTCTAATTGTCAGCTGGCTGGTAGTTAATGAAGCCCTTAAACCACCCACAGTGTCAACTCTGTCTCCCACCAGAGAATTCACACTATTTATATTTGTTGCTGGTGTATACAGCACCGGAGTTTGTCGACATGAACAAATAAACATCGGCTGAATGACACTGGAAAAATTAACTGCTTAATCTGTGAACTTTGCAACGGACGCTGACACTTTCAACAACCAAATGGTCCTTTCTGACAGTCTACTTGAGCTGGGTCAATGACTTGATTAATGGTGTCATAATCCAAAGGGCAATGCTTACTGAAGCCTAAAGAGCGCAAAAGCATAACGGTTCAATAGACAGCTATGACTACATCTATAACAGCCTCATCCGGGGTCAGCGAGTTCAACATGTTTTCTGATTTACACAATACAGTACCATCAATGTTTTCAGGTAAGGATTGAGCCGGGAGACATATTTTAATAAAAACATAGACCTGTGGACAAGGACACACTTATTTTCCTAATTGTATGTCAACTAGCCAACACATGTGGAAATGTATCCTTCTATTATTCATGCTTTTCTTTGGTGATTGTTTCAAGATGTTCCTCCCCTTCAGTCGCTAATGCCTTGAGTTCCAAAAAAGCAAAGCTGACAGTTACCCACAATATTTGCTGGAGCGCTTTAACGTTTTTGCCCTGTTCAGCTGCCACTCCATTCCCCCAAATTATGTTTTATTTCAGGTCTCGAGCCAACTGCCAAAGAGGCAAAAACCTGCTTTTTCTGGGATGTTGTCATTATTATCAGAGTGGTGTTCAACTGGCCAAGCTAGTGCTCCAAGTCTGAGCTATTTTCAGTGCTTTTTATTGGAACAGAGTGGAGCTTGTCTCATATTCGGTAAGAGGCAGGATTTACTGCCTGCAGTCCCCTGACCCTTCAGTGACGATAAGATGACCGATTATAGCCACACAATGCTCTCTGACTTCAGAGATGATTCCTTATCTTCAGACGCTGCTTCTCAGAAACTCAGTCAGCTGAATTTGACATTTCTAACACACATAGATGCATGTGTAGTCGTTGGGGGGGGGGGGGGCAGTAAACCGATGCTGGGATGGGAGCAGGTCATGTTACACATACCACTTAAAAGAAGAGATGATGGAAGTCTAACATAACTCCACTTAATAAAAGCTACTAACAATGACATTTGACAATCGTCTTCTTGAAAACGGCCTGGAACAACAAGTTGTGACCTTGTTTTATATTAGGTTATAAAACCAGGAATTTGCCTGTGAAAACACATTTTTCCTAGTAATGGCTTATTTGGCTGTATTTTGAGACTGTTCAATCCCTTTCTTCACAGTTTCTAAATGGATGCATTTTTGGCCCCATGAGTTTTGTCTGGTATGAGGCTTCCAAAGTAGTCACAACGCACTCCCTTTAGCCATCAGAGCCAATACATATTAAGAGAGTAAGGCTGCTTTACAGTGTCAATAAATATTTCTGCTGGTGTTTATATGAATATTGGTTTTTCCAGGAGTTAAAAGTGGCCAAGGGCCTGTAAGGTCGTAGCAGACTGGCTGACACTTAATGCATCAATAGGTATCATTTACCAATATAAACAACAATCATAAAAGCTGCTGAGCGACACACAAAGACTATTTACCAATGAGTGCAACCAAGCATAGATTCAAAATAGATGTTGAGATTAGTGCTGGTCAAGACAGGTTGTCATGGAAGTCAGGTTAAATTCCAATCAACCCACCAGCCGACTGTAACAATAGCACTAATCTGGGACTCAACTGAACCGTGGATTAAAGACCCCATGTGAGGAAGGCTGAGCCCAACGCTGACCTGAACTCTGACCAGATAGCATGCTGCTTAAACTAAACCGAGCTCCCACAGTACCTGTAGGAGAATATTGTTGTTCTTAGCTTTGTCGAGTGTGTTTATCAGCACAGGCATGCCTGACATCTGTGGTCTGCTTCATTGTCACTGTCCATTCACTTCATTTTTTACTAGCAGAGACAGGTTTGTTTACATTGTCATAACGTACAGGCTTCTGCATTATCCGGCCAGCTTCAGCTTCAAAACCAGAAAAGGACAAATGGAAAAACAAAGGGCAGCAGAGATAGAAAAAGGAAAAACAACTAAAAGAACACTGAGGCATCTTCTGAATTTCCTTCAGTTCACAACATATTAGCCCCGAGCCCTATACACTCACTTTTTCCAGAAGGAAGCAAAACAACAAAACAAGAGCAGATTAATTAAAATTGGGAAAATCTGTGGTGGCAGGCTGTCAGGTTCCAGTCGTCAAAGCAAGGGGGAAAAAGCTAATGATGTACTCTTTGTTTAACACAGTAGAACAACAAACTTTGCCTGGTCCCAGTGTGACCGCATGACTAAGCACCTGAAATATGTCCCCCAATGCTCCCGGCTGGCACATTAACTGGCTTTCTTGCCGTCATTTGGCTTAGTGACTCTGAGCGAGCTGTTGGCGCAATAAGCAAACTCCACTGGCCACTGTATCCCTCCAGCACATGGTTCAGGTCAGACAGAGGGAATAAAAACTCTTTAACTTTCACTCATTGACGTAAGCGGAGGATGCCTTGACCTTATTGGACACTGTAAAGGAAAGATACTGGGAAAGAAAATGTAGAACATTCTTCTACTTTCTCAGTGTCAAAGTCAAGGTTACCACATGCACCAGAGCTCATAATATCTTTCTGTCAGAAGCTTGTACATGATTAAGTGTGTTCTACTTTACAGTGGCCAAATTATTATATATGTTTCATCACTCCTCCATACTTTCACACAATTATGAAATCTTAAAGTTTCCATATTTCATCACCTCCCTGCCAATGGTCACTATATGACCTATTGCAATAATTTGTCTCCTTTGGAAGTGTAAATTACCTCTAAAGTCTTAAATCATCTCAAACATGAAGGTTTTGATAATGTTGAATGCATTACACCAAAACTGTAATCGATACTTGTGCTTGTAAGTTTGGCTGAGGGGTTTATTGTGAGTTTTAAAAAGTGGAAAAACATGACTTCATGATATTTCCATAATGAGAATGAGAAACGCACTGCATATTTCACAGACGTCAATGAGTGCCTGCTGCCTGGGCTCTGTAAGAACGCTGAATGTCTCAACACCAAAGGAAGCTTCAGGTGCATCTGTAAACCAGGCTTCTTTTTAGACCCCGACAGGAGCCATTGTGTCTGTAAGTATAGCTACACATTATTCAAACCTGTGGCCATTCTGTCATGTATTGCATTTGACTTAGATAGATTTTGACTTCTCTCCCCAGCGGACAAGGCTGTGTCTGACCAGAAGGCGTTCTGCTACCGGTCCGTGTCAGCGAGTTCATGCTCTCTACCGATGGTTCATCACATCACCAAGCAGATCTGCTGCTGCAGCCGCGTGGGCAAGGCCTGGGGCCCCGGGTGTGATCGCTGTCCTCTGCCGGGATCAGGTACAGCACCAAAAAGTTACCCTGCTGTCGCATGTGACCCGAATTCACCTCTAATGTGCCTGTTTAAAGGCACAATGAGTTCCATTTGCCCCAAAAAACGATTTATAGTCTCTTGTCTTTTCTTAATATTTTGCTGTGTTCTGGATGTTTTTGGGACGGCTTTCAAAACATATAGACCATGTGCCACATCATAAGCACGTATCCATCCTGGACAGCTATGCAAAAATGGCGGATCCAACAACTATAAAGAGTAAAAAAATGCAGATACAAAGCAATTGTATTGCATTACCCGTGATTGTTAACACAACTTTAAAACATGTGTTAACAATCACGACAAATTGTTCCCATTTTGCATTTTTAATACAAGACTTATCTCCGTCCATCTGCAAGCTAAACCTTCCATTCCTGGATTACTGTTCATGAAAACTGAGAAAACTACAGAGGAAAAATAATTTCTGGGTTAAATGCTTTTGCAGATGTAAAAATGTCACATGTAATATTATGCAAGTGCTAGCAATGGTAGTAAAAGCCAAGGCAAGGGATATTCACCACTCAGTCACCAGTCTGCTCTTTGCCAGGCTTGTAAAGCAGAAAAATAACCAAATATGTTTGGGGTGGAAAAGGACCAAAAACATAAAAGTTTTCATATTTTGGAGGCTGCACAACAGTGGGAGTCAGTCTTGTGTTATCACTCCAACCCTCAGAGAGAAACCCCACTAATAATCCGGCAAAGCTTCACAGCAGAAATAAACAGCTTGGCCAAGCGAAACATGGGAAGTAGTTGTCATCTTTTTTTCCATGCCGATGTAATCTTCAAAGCTTCTGAGAGAAACAGGCTGGTTTTATGGAGTGTCTCTACTGGCCAGTGATTCATTGGGATAGTCACAGATCAGATATCACACACACAGACCTCCATGGTGCTGCTCAGCCAGGACTGACACAGTACACAGACTCACAGCCTCTGATTATTTTGCTGGCTTTTGTATGGCCTGACAAGCTGTTAGAGACATGTTCTGAACCCAGCAGCCAGGCCCATTAATTGTGCCTTGGTAACGGGAGCCCGTTGACTATCATTCCATATTTACTGCCGTTCCTCTGATGTGGTTCCTCATCATATATAAAGCCCCATTTCCCTCCACTTTAAGTTCATCATTCAGTAGCCTATCATATCCACATTTCCTGCATTTACAGCGACCACGTATCTGTCATTACTCATATCTCTATTCCAGACTTTTTTTGGCATAGAGTCGTTGCTTTCAGGTCAGGTAGGGGACACAGTGCTTCTCACTTGTAATGGATTCACCATCGCTGTGGTTTGTTGGGCTCCGACACAAAGAGTTGTAGTCTCCCTCCTTTTATCTAGCCAGCCAATCCTCCATTAGCCTCTCACTCACACGCCTCTACAACCAAAGAGTTCAAAGGTCAGTCAGTATTACATGATCCTCTACTTCCTGTTACTGGCATGGCTGTGTCTGTTCGCAGATATCCCCAAATCTTTCCAAATCCCCTCGCTGGTTGCCCTCTGTGACAGCGAGCTATTCTGCTATAATAGCCCGAAACCGGAATCCCTCGTTTACAGCACGTTGTAAAGCACAGCATGCTCAACATAACAATATTACACGGATGGGTTATGGCATTGCTTTGACTATCTAGACAGAAATGTGAGCCAAAGTTACTCTCCGGCTCATCGTTTTTTTTCTGCTATGTGTTTCCTACTCTGCAGACCATTTCAAGGAGATCTGCCCAGCGGGTCACGGATACACGTACTCGCTCTCTGATGTGCAGATTTCTGTCACGCGACTCGGGGAAGATGACCTGCAGAGCACGGGAGTGTCATGGGAGGAGGAGAGCCCCACTTTCTCTCTGCCTCAAGTACCCTTATACCCGGAGAACCCTGAAACGCCACAAGCACCCCGGGACCCTCAGACTCCTCAGCATCCTCTCCATCCCTCTCACCCAGACAGGGAGACACCTAAAGAGCGGGAAGGTGAGGACACCATGTTTGGTACATTCAATCTCCGCCAAGCTGACTATGGTCAGACTAATGGTAGAGCGATTAAAGTTGCTGCTGAATATACATCTTATGCCCTAAGGCCTCCTAACATAGTGTTGACCTTTACCCATGACATAAACAATGCGGGGCAGCTGAGTGATTTTCTTTTCTCTACAGGATGCAAACGGATTCGCTTTTTTTTGAGAGAACTCAAACATCAACAGGATGTTTTGAAGTGAACCCCCTTTGAGCATCGGAGCAATGCACACAACTAATCCACATGGGCCATACATCTAAATCCTCTGGATTTTCTTGAAATACATCTTCCTGGTTTAATGCTCGTGAGATTCTTTATTGGCCAAGCTACAGGGTTTTGATTTCCATGTCTCTCTTTGCATTTTTTTTCTTGGACAGTAGTCTACACTACTTTTTTTTACACTTTGACCTTTTTCTGTCTGGCTTTCACAGGATAAATACGCCGTAAGCTTTGTTTTATTAGAAATAAAGACCTCCGGCGCTGCGATTTAACTGCCTAAAGAGATCATGGGTGGTTGTGTATGTTGAGTGCAGTGAGTCATGGTATTTGTATGCAAAAAGAATGGCAACTTTTTGCTACTGATAAACTTGTTGTCTCCTTTCTGTTTTTTTGCAGATACGGAAATTCTGAGCCCGGTAAGTTCTCCCTCCCTGTCAGCCTCTTGGCACGTACTTTTAAAATGTTTATCCTTGAACGATATGCTTTTGCTTTCTCAGCTGGAGGGTTTGTTATGATTATGTAACTTATTCAGGCCACATTTTGGTAGAGATACATAACTAATTAGCGCAGAATATGTCGACAAAAGCAGACATACTGCATGAAGATGAATATGGTGATGAAATGTAACCATAATCTTTGACATGTTTGCTTCTTTTCTAGCCAGCCATTGTGACTGACTCACCACTGAAAAATCCAGGTATTTGTCTCTTAGATTTACAGATCATAAAACACTACCTCCTCGATGCTGTTGTGTAATGCCTCATCTCAAAGCTCAGGCTCAAAAGTAGTTTCAGTCGGGCACAGACACACGGTGTGTTTTCTATGAATTTATCACTCCGGTGGAGGTCTCACTGCTGCTCCGCCCTCACGCCAGTGAAAACATTGACTTTAAAGTCTAAAGGTTGACTGAATTCAATGAGTCAACTTGATTTATTTAGGTCATTTGACTGTTTTTAGCCCAAGAGGAAAGAGTAGATCATTTTATTATAGCTGCGCAGTGAGTGACAGCCGGGCAGCAGTGGCTGGGAAAACAAGCGGCTCGTAGAGAATGAGAATTTACTATGTGTCGCAGTGTTAGTGGTTCACTGTGTTCGCACTCACCCAGTCTCCGTCTGTCTTCACAGAGACTTCTCCAGACTCCTCCATCATCAACCAGAGGCCGGATTCAGGGGACACGACCCACACAGTTTCAGCCACAGGTAAAACAATTAATTAGAATTCACATATTAAATACACGGGCTCTCATTGAACTGTCAAAAAAACATGAAAGGGATAGCTGCTGAGCTGGAGGGTGGGTTTATGGAAGGCAAATTACATGCTATCTAGAATGCACATCATATAGTATAACATATTTTCTCACATTACATTCACATTTGTATATGTTTGCTAACATTTGTAATGTAAAAATCTAATATAGAACTTGGTAAAGAAACACTGTATATTAAATCAAAAGTCCTTCATTGCCAGGTGGGTATGGAATTGTAGGACCACGATGCACAATAACTCTTCATTTTTTAGTAGTATCAACTACTGGCAGACAGACATATTTTCAGGCTTACCCAGACTTCAACCGAGAAGAACTTGTATTATGTTTTTATTTGACCTCTTTTTCTCAGAGCCAATTTGGCTTGGAGATGCCGTGCAGCGCAGAGGGTGAGAGGGCGAGAAACCAAGACTGAGTGTGTCTCTTGGAAGGAGAAGCTAAGCTGAGCTGAGAGAGGCCAGATTTATGAAAAGTGAAGGACGACAGTGTTTGGGTGTCAGTGAGAGGAAGAGTGATAGCAAGGACAATTTACAGTAATCCTATAAAGAAAGACATACTGTAGTTTTCCCCTCCTTAACCGGACATAGGGGCCCAGTGTTTAACCGCAGGCCATTTGGACAGACAAAGACAAGAACAACACCAATGTCAGGCTCTACTGTGCGTGACCTGTTTCTCGCTGACCTCTTTGTAAGAGCTCCGTACCACCTGTTAGAACACTACAGTGCTGTAAAATCTGTTCTCATCCAAGACCTCACCTATAAAACAGACAGGTTTCCATGGTAAAAACAACATGTGCTAATGGAATGCAGTTTTTTTTACTTTTAACAGTGTCCGTAATGTTACGTAACCTCAGGTCAAAAATATTCCCGTCTGCCCCTTGAGTAATGACTGTGAACATCTCTGTGGCTTCTTGCAGGCATTGACAAGTGTGCCACCACCCCCACCATATGTGGCCGCGGGAAATGTATCCCTGTGCAGACTGGCTACACCTGCCGCTGCGAGTCGGGATTCAATCTCAGCGCACTGCAGACCAACTGCATTGGTAAGCAACGATGAAAGACAGAGAGGGGGAGATAGCATGGGGTAACGGTGGGACACTTGAAGTGAAGTAGGGGTCGCACAAACACACACATGCTGACTCTGTCTGTCATCGTCTCTATGCGAGCGAGTCCTCAACACGTTACGTGGCACAGAAGCCTAGAGAAATGAAGCGAGCCAAAAATGAAAAGGATCCGTTTGTTTATGTTGACCTGTTCCTTGATGCCTGACAACATAGAGCAGGCCTTCCAAAGAGCTGCCACGCTGCTGTGTTCCCTTACCTCATGGTGAAGGCCACTTGGCCACAGACTCTGCTCCACTCGGCTGGGCTCAGGCCAATCGCAGAGGAATGCCTGCACAGGAGAGGAGCTACAAAGTCAGGGCATGAAAAGTGTACAGTCTCTGCCAAAGAAAAGGAACAGCAATGTAATGTTGCATGATGTCTTGTACTCACCTTCCCGGTGTTTTGTCTTTACTTTATTTCTCTGTCTCTCGTTGCAGATGTGAATGAGTGTGACGAGGAGCCATGTGAAGGGAAGGGCCGCTGTATTAACAGCTATGGATCCTATACCTGTTACTGCCACAGTGGCTACAGCCAGGTGATCACTCAGAACAGGAAGTTCTGTCAAGGTGAGACACAGCCCAAATGCCAGCAGAAGACATAATGTTTCCAATGGATGAAAGCCATTACATCGGCTGTTAGCTTTCTGTCTCTCTATTAGAGCACCACACGTTTTGTCTGTCAGCACTGTTCATTTCAAATGCATCCTGCCCTGATTACCGAAATGCTGTGGAACACAATAGTCACTTTCTTTTCCATTCTCCTTGGTTTTCATTCAAACTGGCAGACATTAACGAGTGCAGCATGCCCAACAAGTGCCAGAATGGTGACTGCGTCAACACAGAAGGATCTTACACCTGTGAATGCAACAGTGGCTACGCCAAGTCTTGGAGAGGCCAATGCGAAGGTGACATGCATGCACACACAGGCGCCTATTCACACATATATTTCACAAAAAAACTAAACATAAGCCAGGCCTATTTGTTAACGTGTATCCTGGTAACAAAACACATACTCAGTTTATCCAAGCCAGGAAGACAACTACGCACAGTCTGTGACAGAGAGAGATTTGGTGTTTGTATATATTAGCATTTGTAACCTCACTCCCCTTTCTTCCATATGTGTGCATATTTTTTTATAAATAACACATTTAAATCTGTCTTTCTCACTGAGCAGATATGGATGAGTGCAGGGACCCCAGCTCCTGTCCAAACGGGATCTGCGTCAACACTCTTGGCTCCTTCGAATGCCAGGACTGCGGCCCCGGGTTCAGGCCCGTCAATGAGAGATGTGTGGGTAAGAATATCCAACACACCCCATCATAGCAGCAGCACCATCACCACTACCCAAACTCCTCAGGGTGTATCCGACCGCTGCATGGAAAACAGCCGGGTTTCCCTCTGACTCCGTAACAGCTTCCTGTATTAGGTAACATTTACGTAGACAAGAGCTACTGCTCCCAGTTGGCATCACCAAAATAACCAAGGCGCCATGGCAACAGGCCATACCCTTAATTACTTGCTGACAGCTCATGGTGCAGTACGGTTCACCAAATAGCAACAGATGAAGTAGTTTCTCTGAATTGAGGCTTTTTGCTCAAAGGGAAAAAAATACATTAAATAAATTGTATGTCACGCTTCAAAAGACTTGATACTTGATACTTTTTATATGTGAAGCGTGGACCACTTTAGGGCCACTTCGGGCCCTCCACCCTCTCTCTCTCTCCATTCAGTGTTTCCCCGTATGATATATCAACTACTCCGCCCGGCAGCCTCCGCATATCCCCAATATTATTTAAACACATTCACTGTTATTGCTGATATTTTGATATCACTGGCCCCCGTAAAAAGATTGTTTATAATACTTCAATTTGGGAGAGTCCAAATATTTTTTCTTGGCCACAGCCTTGAATAAACAGCGTAATATTGTTGGAGCGCTCTGGCCACTGTACTGTCGGGCCCAGCGGAGGCTTTATTACCACTGCTGGGCTAACTGAGAGGGCCGAGCCGTCACTGGAGATGTATGAGAAGGTCAAAGGTTTAATTCCCCACTGCACAGAGGTCACGACACGTAAACACATTCCCTCACTCACCCATAGTGTTGACCATGGTCGGCTGTATAAACGTTTAATTGTGTATTATTTTATTTGAAAACACAAATGGCCGCCGACTGCATTCGGTGCGGGTTGTGTTTAAGCTATCACGCTCCCAACCTGAAATTAGCCCTGTTACATAAGAGCCTGACTGGTGTGACTTACCACATCCCCTCTCTATGACCTTGCACCCCTCTAATTTGTTTGCAAACCCAAGCTTTCGGAGTGAGTATTCCAGAAATATGAAAAGCCAGAAGACAGAATGAGGTGGAAAATATGGAAATGCACTTAAATTGTAATTTGGAGTTCTTTTAAATGGATTTCTCAGGGGGTCCGACGACTGTAGCCCTTGTTTAAAAATCTCCAGATTAACTTGCCTCCAAAGGAAACACCACTTCAGCCACTTTGTGTTTGTGAGTCTACTAATATTATTCATTTTGTGTAAACCTGGTGTGTATAAATAGCAACTGAGAGGAAGCCAGTAAATGGGGGATAACGCTGGAGGTAAATATTTTTACTCCAAATATCCACCAAGGCAGCACTAACGGGCCTGCAGTATACGTCTGCTCACATAAAACAGGCAACATGAGCACCAGGTTTCCAGGGTTGGCTCCAGTCAATTGACAGTAGCACAGTAGTTTGGGCCCAATTGGCCAAATCATGGATAAGCTTAATTGCTGGTGTGATAGAGAAAACAGTTCGGCCTGAGAGATGCCGGATGATTGCAGAAACAAAGCATTGAGCCATACTGACAGACGTCTGGCAGTGCCCACCGCTCGGCAAACAAAACCCAGCCTGTTGCTCCCTCGCAGTGTTTTCAGTGTGAGAGCACTCCGTTTTAGCATCTCTATCACGTCCTCGCTACACTTCCTTTTGCAGACAAATGATTTACCTTCCTCTCCCCTCCTTTCTTTTTCTTCTTTTAATGTCTCTTTCTCACTTACACTCACATAATCAGAATCTCTCCCCGCACCTTGGCCAAAGCTGAAAATGTGCCATTGTTAACACTTGGTAAAATCCACTATAAAACGTTATTTCTGCATGAGGTTTTCCACAAATAATCCCTGGGTTTACTGTTCTAACTCACGATGTGGAAAAGACAGCTACTGCTGCAAGTAGTAAAAGCTCTTTGAATGAGGTTTGGGCACTGATGTAATGTAATGACTGCTATTATTCAGTCATTATCAGCTAATTATGCTGTAATTGTTTCCCTTTTACTAATGCAACGTTGGTTTTGTATACACGTCTTTGTTTTTATGTATTGTTTCCTGCTGTGACTGCCTACATTTCATCGGCATTTCATAGTTAATCGTGTGTTAAACCCCCCGAATTACAAAAGCAATCCTTGTTCTCACTTTGATCGAGTGTTTTGTAGCATCGCACATGTTTGGTTTTATGTGCCTAGCTTTTGAGACATCTTTCTTTTAGTTTTCTGCATCTGCCTAGAGAAATAACTTTTGTTTGACTTTTCCTGCATTGGGAAATGACACTTTATTTCCTTCAACAACTGAAATAGTCTCCAAATAAATAGCAATTGGAGTTACTGCGACATACTGGGAAAGTTAAGCTCCTGTTAAATGCTACAAATATTATTTTTCATTGCTGTTAGCACCACAACTGATCATTTCATTTCTTTGTATTGGGTGGTGGGCAAAAAACAGGTAGATATCTCAAAAGTCTAGATAGCACTAGAGGTAGATTAACTGAGGATGAACCTTCAGTCACATTATGGCTGAATAAAACCTGAAATCCCCATCTCACATACGTTGTGTCCTCTCTTGATTTTTTCTGTCCTCAGATGTAAACGAGTGCTTGAACCAAACAGCATGCAGTCATGGAAGGTGTGTCAACATCGAGGGCTCCTATAGGTGCAACTGTTTCCAGGGATACAAACTCTCACCGGACAATATATGCCAAGGTAAGGACATTCAGAAGTCAGAAATCATTTACTGTACAGCTCTGTGAATATATCTCTACAGTGCTACTACAGAAGCCTCCAGGCACTAATGACAATTAAAAAAAAGGCTACAAAAAAATAAACGTTTGTCTTTATTCTGTATCTTCCTTCTAGATGTGGATGAGTGTGCGCTTCCTGGAGTTTGTCTCCACGGCCACTGTGTCAATCTAGACGGCACCTACAAATGTACCTGTAACCATGGTTACCAAGTCACCTCAGACGGCGCAGCCTGCGAAGGTCTGCAAAGGATTATCTAGAGCTGTTGGGCGTAACTCATCACTGCATACTTCTCAGTGTGTGTAGCTCTCTCTGCATCGGTGTAATGTCTGCAAATTGTTTCTTTTTGTTAGATGTCAACGAGTGCGCAACTGGTAATGTGTGCCCTGCGGGAATTTGCATCAACACTGCAGGTTCTTACACTTGCCAGGACTGCAGGCCTGGGTTTGGACCATCTGCTGATGGACTGAGATGTGAAGGTATGAAATGGGCTGTTTAATGATTTCTCCTAAACAGTGTTTTTTGACACACATCTGTGACGAAGTGTGCGCCAAGTTTAAGTGGTAATCTGTGTTTTTCTGTGTTTTTAGACGTGAATGAGTGTGCCCAGGGTGACTTGTGTCTTGGTGGGGTGTGTGCCAACACGGAGGGATCCTACACCTGTACCAGATGTAAGGCTGGCTACAGAGTGTCTCAAGACCGGCAGAGGTGTGAAGGTAAACTCCAGCTGTGCTCCTTATTCAGTAAAAAACACTACGACTGTGGAAGACTCACTCAACACATCTGGGCGTTTTGTCACCTCAACAATAAAAACTTCAAGTGAAACCCCTCCACATAGTATTCAGTCTTTATAGTGATCAGTGTCCATGCATGTCTGTGCATATCTTTTAACCAGATGTTGACGAGTGCCAGTCCCTGTCTCCCTGTACCAATGGGATCTGTCTGAACTCGGAAGGCTCTTACACCTGTGAGAACTGCCCCACCGGGTACAGGGTATCATATGACGGAGAGATCTGTCAAGGTAGGATTTTTCAACACCACTTTTAAAAATGGAATCCAGCATGCTGCCATATGTATATTATTAAGCCTGAAAAAAAGAACACTGGTGGGGTTTAATGGTTATTTCTTTCATCAGGAATGTAGTCTTTTTTGGGGGCTGTGAGACGCCCCTGTCCCCGCAACATATGTCTAACAGTTTATGTTGTTTTCACGCCAGATATTAACGAGTGCGCGCTGCCAACCACATGCCCCCAGGGAACATGTACGAACACAGATGGTTCCTTCACGTGTATCGTCTGCCAACCTGGATTCAGAGTCTCTGAGGATGGACAACAGTGTGATGGTGAGGATTGGCTGTGTTTGTGCAGGAATGTAATGTGTTTATTCAGCACAGGTGTGTCTAGCTTCCTCTTCTGTTCAAACTGTGCCTTAAAGGAATACCTAACCCACAAAATAATGATTTGTTTATCAATTACTCATACATTGAATTTCCTGATTTTTTGTTGTTGTTTTTCTTACATTCTTACATTACAAAAAAGTAATTGATGAATAAATCTAAATGTGGTACTTGGATTATACTGCATGTGTTGCGTCAGTTGGAAAAAGGATGTTGTCATGCTGTTGTTGCTGTTGTTAAACAGTAACCTTACCACAATTCATCGTCATTCGTTTTGCTATTCACCTTGGAACCATGTAAGAAAAACAAACTTTTATTTTGATTTGGGTGAGTAATTGATAAACAAACGATCATTGTGGTGGGTGAAGTAGTCTTTTAGTACACAACAAAGCTGCGTTTAAAGTTGAACGTGCAAGCTCTGTGGAACATGTTGCTTCATGTTGTACATGAACAGCATCAGGTGTGACAGCTTGGATCCCAGAGCTCCGTCATAAAAGCCCTAAAATCCCAAAATACACCTTGTAGACATCACATCATAGCTGGATCCTGGAGCCGTTCGCCTCTGGTACCGCTCATCTCATCCTCGCTCAACATAGTGAGACACCGGCCCTCAAATAGAACAAGATGATGTCAGGCAAATGTTCTGCAGATAGCTCATCTTAAGAGATAGAGGTGTCAACACTTCTAATTTCTAGTTCCAGTTCTTACCGATCTAGCTGATTACAACTGCCGGGCTTTATTCATTTGAAGCCAGAGATTATAATCTTTGCTATGATGTGTCTATGTTTGTGTCCAGATGTGGATGAGTGCTTGGTGTCTGACGTGTGCCATGGCCAGCTGTGCTTGAACACCCCAGGTTCCTACTCCTGCAGGAGCTGCGGAGCCGGCCTGCAACTGTCTGAGGATGGTTACGGCTGTGAAGGTAAAAAAAAAAACTGCCACAATGGCGAACATGGTACCAAAGTTACGGTAGAGCAGCGTCATACAGGAATGCATTAGACCCAGAATATGATTACAGAAAATCTTTGCAGTGCTCTGTAATTTGTCCTGACATGATTTATGAGATCAATGCAGTGAAACGGCTGCTTTGACGAGTCCAGGGAGGTCAGATCTGTCATTACTTCATGGGAAGCAGAACAGGAGTGACTGTTTAAATGTAGTCAAACATGGCCTTACTTAGTCATATATACTGCGGTGTGTTTTTGAATGGAAGTGTGGATGTAGCCCAAGAGGAAGATCCCCTACTGATATGTGTCTCTGGGCTGGGAAAAGGTTTTATAAAACAAGCCCGTGACCAAGTCGTCCTCTGATAGGATTTTAATGGTTGTCTCTGATGCCATGGAAAATATTAAAGTTTTAATTTGAAATGAAGTCAACCACTCCCCTGCCTTCCACAAAGTGCAGCTAGCTCGCCCTGTTGAACTCTCCATGTTCAGCCAAAGGCAAAACGGAGCCGTCTCCATCACTTAACAATGGCCCACACTCTTTTCTCCGTAAGAAATACAATCTGTACCTCAAGGAATTTTCATATAACAGCGAGCCAGTGACTGTTTGTAGATACAGTAATTATGTGCCACCTGTAATAGCTTGCTGTTTTGGATTCAATGACCGTCCTGCATACTTATCTCTCCACCCTTTTTAATAAAACACTGTCAGTGTGATCTAATAAAGAGTCACACACACACACATCATTTTTAAAAGATAAGACAAAAAGTGGGCTCGCTATAAACTAGATCTAACCTTTTCTTCTGCTCCTGTCTCTCAGACATTGATGAGTGTGAGACCCCAGGTGTGTGTCCCGCGGGTGTGTGCACCAACACAGAGGGCTCCTTCTCCTGCATGGCCTGCGACCCGGGCTTCACTGTGGCTCCTAACGGGCTCTCATGTGAAGGTACGGCATATTGGGTGGTTCGCTCTGGTCCCTAAATGTACGATTTCTGCACAATCATTTCCTTAGTCTAAGTTAGTCATCTGTTCCAGCCCAGCATGACTTTTTGGAGTTAAGAAGTAAGAAGAAGTCATTACTTGCTGATGATGCATACGTTTTCTTACACTGTGGTCTGGAAGCTCCTCATCCAAATGGCAGAACTTGGGTTGAATTTGAATTGAGACAGAGGGATTTACAGCGGGTGTGAATGTGTCATACTGATGACGTCTGTGTCTTTGTGTGGCTGGACAGATGTGAATGAATGTGAGGACCAAAGTCTGTGTGTAGAAGGCCAGTGTACCAACACCATCGGTTCCTATAGCTGTTTCTGCCCCGATGGTCTGGAGATGGTGGATGGGACGTCCTGCAGAGGTACACACACACACACACACACACACACACACACACACACACACACACACACACACACACACACACACACACACACAAAACATACCATTAGTGGTTCTCAAAGCTTACCTCATGTTGGCACCCTAACACAGCTGTGTGTGTATATTTCTGACAGATATCAATGAATGTTTAACCGTCATGAGGATCTGTGGTGAAGGAGACTGTGTGAACACTAAGGGCTCCTACACATGCATGTGCCCTGATGGATTCAGCACTGTCGATGGGAGGATCGGCTGCCAAGGTATTGTAGGAAACAGTGGGAAATTATTCTCAAATGATTTTAGGAGCTTTTGTGTAATTGGGTGAGGCAGAGTAATAACTTGATAAAGCTGTTTGTAATGTAATAATGATTATACCCCATATTGCTTATGTCATTTTACAGTAACCTTGTTGGCCTGCACAATAGTATTCATTGAGTGCAGGCAGGGTGACAGACAGTATCACTCTCTGTCTGCTGAGGCCAGGCCTGGGACCCTTGGCATGGGTGCTCAGTCCGGCCTGTCTGTTTAATGGGCCGTGGCCTCATCCACTGTCTCAGCTCACTCTCCCTTTCGGACATCAGTTTGATGTTATTCCAGCCGCACCCATTCACAGCGATGGGAGAAGAAGAATGAAGCCTGCTCATCAGCTATGGAAGGCTTTTCTTTTCAGCAAATAACTTTGGCTTGGATTTCAGAATTAGATCAGTGTTTTTTTCTGGTGGCTCTTGCAAGTACAGTAAGAGGTGAAGTTACGTAAACCGTTTGGTGGTGAAATACCCTTTTGTGATGTGAAGCAGGTAGGATTGAATCTCTGGATCCAGGCCCCTTTAAGAAACTCGCTCAATTCTTGATGGTTTAAGTTTGACTTACAATAGAGGAGGGTCAGTCCTTGAACAGGGACATTCTTCCACTGAGGCTTTGGCCTTGGAGCGTCTTAGATATGGTACACAGACTCGGAGCAAACTAGCCTGCATCAGGTACTTTGGCTGCCCGCCACAACAAAATACTCCACTCTAATTATCCTATAAATCAGCAGTTGTCATATATTTCCTTGCAGCCTGCCATTGTGTGTACAGTGCTGACACAAAGAAAGCCAGACCCCTCTGACATGAGCCTGCAGGGGGAGGAGAAGGGAGAAGGGAGGAGGAGGGTATGAGTTTATGGGAATGAAAGATGGGTTGAGTCAGGTGATGCTCGGCAAAATGATGCTTGTCCTTGACCAGGCCAGTCTTTCAGCAGAAACAGAACAAATGTAAGAAAGGACTGACAGCACACTGAAACACATCTAAATGTAATCTGAATCAACAGGTTGTGCCATGGCCTTGCTGAGCCTTTAGTACAGGCTTTGAATCAACTCCAAAGCTCTCAGTCTCAGAATTTTATGTGTTTACTTATAGTCTGGGCTATTGTTTTTTTTCACACTATCTTTGCAAATGGGTGTTTGCCTTGTTCATCTTGATTATCAAATGTTGGAAAAGGATGATGGGCTTTAACCCAGCGGTGGATTTCCCCCGATTTCTTGACTTTCCACCTCCTTTTCCCGCAGGCCTACGTGCCTTACAAGTTATGTTGTAATGCCGCAATTATCCACCAATCTACAGCTAATCAAGCAAGTCGCATTTATTATTATTTTTCTTTTTTACGAATTGGATGGTGAGATATATGTTTTTTTCCCTCCTTTGTTTCCTGTTTGCCGGTACACTGTTAAGCTCTCCAAATGGCCAATGCATCTTGTGCTCAGACAAGCGCTTGATTACACATTCTTTTTGTGATTCTTATGAAAAGGAGTGGTGTTCCCTGTGGATGTAATGAAGACAGAAGATATATGGGGATATTAAGTGATAATTAACATGTAGCAAATCTTGACACACCCTTCCTCCAATTACCTTATCCCTCTGTGTGACGAATGAAGGTATTCTGATTCTGATTCTCTCTTAATTTGTCTCCCTCTCTCTGCCTCAGATGTGAATGAATGCGAAAAAGACGATGCGTGCATCCGGGGCGAATGTATCAACACTGACGGCTCGTTCTTGTGCTTGTGTGAGGCTGGCTTTAAGTTTGACACCGACACGGCTGACTGCGAAGGTAAGACAGAATAGAACCCCTTGTGATGCTCTGTTGTTTGTGTCATAGTGATTGTTGAACCCCTAACTCTGTCCTGAGGTTTCTCTGCGCAAACCAATATGTCACCATTAGCTGTTTGATCGTCACGCTACATTTAAGCTCAAGCATAGCACACTTGGCCATGATTGATTATCTATAGGCAGTTGGGACTGGGCTCCAGGGAAAGTGTCCAAGCCTGGCTTAGAGGCTTTCCTCCAGGGTCCCAGGAGCGAGGGGTGCCTGGATAACATGGCTGGAGCCCTGAAATCCCAATCCCATGAGGGAAGTATGAATGACCCGATTGTGAACGGGAGGTGTTTCTCCCTCTGGAACGTCTCCCTTTAGCTCCTTCACAAGTTCTTCGGTTGCTGTGATAATATTGTTCTTGGCCATTCCTGTTGCCTGCTGCGTTTACTGAGGACAGCTACACCACAGGCCTCCTGACTACCTCCTGCTGTACAGCCATTACACTGGAAGCAGCAGAGCAGTGGAGGGAATATCTGTGTGTGTGTCAGTTTCTGATTGCACATGTGGTTGCATTTGTACCTCTGTTTGTCAGTTACTAACCAACATCTGTCTTGCTCCCTTTTTCGCTGTAGACCAGAATGAGTGCAAGGAGTTTGGGAGCTCAGTGTGTGGTACCTGGCGGTGCGAAAACACCATCGGCTCCTACCGCTGTTTCATGGGCTGCCAGCCTGGCCTCCAGGGAGACGACGCGTCGGACTGTGGTGAGTGGTGACACTGGTAAAGACCAGCACACGCAATTATGTCAGGGAAAAAAGATTTTAAGGCTAACTGTCTTAAAGCATTGAATAGTAAGCATTATGTAGCTCTTAACTATTTTTGTGCCATTTAAATCTTGGGCTGTAGTTGAAATAAAGGCAAGCGTAGCCTCAACTCAACTCTGCATACTCTTCAGGACTGTCCCTCTGTGCAGAGATAATGATATCTGTTTGGCATGCAGACACAGAGAGGCTGATGGGAATCAAAGAGCTATCAGGTACTCGAGGTCTTCCTGCACAAGAGGCCATAAAGGAGATGAGGACAAGTAGCCCCTTGAAATTGGGACACTCTAGAAAGAGGAGTGCACTGTCATTAAAGGGGGTGTGAGAGGCCAGCAACTGATAATGGTCTCATCCTCTGGACAACAGAGCTAATGGAGTGTCTCTGGCAGAGGCACACGGTGGAACCTGATCACCTCTGTTCTCCTTTTGAGAGGGGATGCATTTATCCGCCGTTACCTATTTTCCTCCCCTTAAGAGGATCCCGGTCACCTGGTTTGACCGGCTAGGCTTATATTTATGCTTCATCTGGGCCCACAGCTGGCCAACAGCAACAACAGACACATCAAATCAATCAAATCAAGTTTTATTTATATAGCACATTTATAAACGATTTTTGGTTGAGCCAAAGTGCTGTACATAGAATAAAAATAGTCTACAGTAGAGACACTTTACAGCAAATACAACAGCACAGATTGTTCAGAATATCAGTATGAGAAAAACGACACCCTCTGTCCTTAGACCCTCACATCGTACAAGGAAAAACTTCCAGAGAAAACCCACAGTTTAAGGGGAAAAATGGGAGAAACCTCAGGGAGAGCAACAGAGGAGGGATCCCTCTCCCAGGACGGACAGACGTGCAATAGATGCCGTGTGTGAATCGAAGAGCTAATACATTTTACAGCATATAGACCGAATGTTAGGAAATGCATGTGTCTGTAATAAGAAGATGAATCCACGAGGATGTCAGCTACAATCCTGTGGAAGCCATCAGGGAAGCAGCATGACGAGACCCAAGGCAGGACCGCAGAGACAGGTTCAGCCACGACCCGAATTCCACGACTTAATCCAGAACTCAGGATAGAGGATCCAAGACACAGGACTACAGTAAGAGGATCAGCCTCGACTCCGGATCCCGGCGTAGATATAGATACAAAACAAGAAAAAATATTTGGCTGGGTTAATCGGAACAAGAGAATACACAGACACAGTCAGAGAGGGAAAAGGTCATTGGATAAAAGTTATTCTTGATAACCCTCTAGAAAGATCTCATGAACTTCCCCACTCAATCTATCAAGACCCGAGCAGTTCTATTAGATATAGGATAAGAAACAGAGAGAGGGAGCACAACAACCTATCTCTTCGTCAGATGCACTCCCCCGCTTATCTAAGCGACTCTGTACTCCGTTACCCTCTACAAGGCCATAGACCAGCAGAGGGAAAATGGGGGGTGTGTAAGGGTTTTTAAGAATAAACCGCAAGGGTCTAAAGGGAAAAAAGATTAAATATAAGGTACTATCTCCACAACCACCGGAATACATGAAGCTGTCTGTGTTTACTGGCAGGATTAGACACCTAGAGATATAAATGTGGTATGTTGCACAACGATTTATGTTTATTTTGTAGCGCAGCATTACTCATCGGTGTTGCTCTCACAGCACCATAAAACAACAAGTCTTGTTTTTTAGAAACAATATGCCAGACAAAAACAAAAGGACGAATATTTTCCTTATAACAAGTCAGAATCCAAACAGTCACCGGAGATTGACAGGGGGGAAAGCAGACTGAGAGCATCTGAATGGAATGATGTGTTGGACTGCCGATGGAGGCTGTGGGTGTTTGCGGGTGATTGTGTGTGTATGTGTGTGCGCATGTGGTTAGCTGTGGGTTTTTTTTGTTGCAACTCTGCTTGTGTTAGAGAAGGAGAACCAGAGTCTAACCGTCGTATAAATGCACTCGGGGTGCGGTGCGGCTTCACAGACTCTCATGAGCATTTAGTTTTTATTGGACTATCAACAGATGGAAATCAAGGGAGAATATGATGATCGGTGACGGATCAGACCCCTCCGTTACCCTGGTCCCCGGCTATGTGTGGCTGCCTCCTCGCTGCACTTTATGGTGTTGCCTGTCTGGCATCAGCTGAACAGTGCCAGGGTCTGGAGTGTGATAAGAGCAGATTGAAAGCAGCTGCTGACCTCCACTCCTTCAGTGTAATATTCGAAACACTGCCAGGCCGCTCATATAGGCATAAATCAGTGCCACGTTATGCGCTACAGGTCACACATTTCTTCCTGTAGAGCATGATGTTATCTTTAGGTGGGATATGATATATCACATTGGAGCCACAGACTCCATTCAGACCAGTTGAATGGTGGGAAAGCAAAGTATAATGAGAAACTGGAGGAACCCAAGCGAGCCCTCATTTCAGGAATGGTTTATAGGGTTGGCAAAAGTGGCATCAAACGAAGAAAAACTCATATTTAAACTGTAAGGACTGAGGAAGATTGATACATATGTGGCTTAGTGAGGAGACTACCTGAAATACACTGTTAATATCCAACTATGTTAAAGTAAAAATACATAATATTTAGATAAACATCACACGGTATCATGTCTGATAAGATAAGATGTACTTTATTCATCCCAATTTGGTAAAGGTTTTTGTTGCAGCAGCATAAACAAAACAAGGCATTGCACATAATAACAAATTAAAAGAGTAGAAATAAACAATTCTAAAATAGAAACATCTCAAAATAGAAATAGATAGAAACCAGCATTAGAGAGTAAGACAAATATACAGATAATGACTGTGTTGCTTGAAAATTAAATAATGGTGCATATTAATGTTGGAAAAAGCAGCTTTTACTTTTACAAACTTTATTAAAATATACAAGTTGTTTGATTTGTTAGCCAAAATATGACGATGTTTATAAAAAACATTCAATAAAATACTGGTAAAGAAACAAAGAAAAAGCTTCACAATGTCCCCTATGTTTCCACACATCTCACAGTTTACCTAATTCTGTATTTTGCCAAGTTATGACGGGACCATCTTCCCCTCGTTGCTATGTTGTGACTCAAGTGGTCCGTGTTTTCACTAGACCCCACAACAAACACTCGTACAGCTCAGCGTTGACTCACAGCCACAGTTTAAGCACCAGGCCCTCTCACCCTCAGAAGCCCAGCGCTGCACACAATAGTGGCTTGTTTCACCTCACGATTGCAACTTGTGGGAGATGCTTGCCGTCACCCCAATACAATTCCAGGGAGGGAGCTCAATTACTCCAGGGCATTTTTGTCTGCTTGTAAAAATCATCAAATATTTAAGAAGAGGCCAGACACTGTAATTTGCCATTTCTATGAGGGGCGTTGTTTTATTTTTACTCACCGGCCTTCGAAGGGGCAGCGGTTGTCTTTGGCTCTGCTCACGGTACTCATTTAGATTTAGAGGCCATAATACAAAAGGGGAAAACACTTTATTTTCCACGACTGTGCTGTGGGGGCTGTAGTTCTGCAATGATGCTGTACTCAGGGCCATGAGAAAAGGGCAGTATGTGTGTAGTTGCAAGTCATTGTTTTTCATCTTTAAGTCACCATCATGCTCATAAATCGCCTCAAGCTAAGCCTTGTCTTTAATAAGGCTTGCCCCAGGGCGGAAATTGTCTGTGGTCACGCTCTTGCCAACCTCCCACCCCTTTAAACGTATAGAAAACCTAAAGACTTTACCGTGTGTGTGTGTGTGTGTGTGTGTGTGTGTGTGTGTGTGTGTGTGTGTGTGTGTGTGTGTGTGTGTGTGTGTGTGTGTGTGTGTGTGTGTGTGTGTGTGTGTGTGTGTGTGTGTGTGTGTGTGTGTGTGTGTGTGTGTGTGTGTGTGTGTGTGTGTGTGTGTGTGGGATCAAGCACACATAGAAGTCCACACATTGTACGACAGTTTGACCTCCGCTGTAGTTAACCCGTGACAGGTTGTAGATGTAATGTCAGATAAAGCGTACAAACATGCTCCCCTGAAAACAAATACCTCACCCCATCCTCGCCCAGTCACGTGTGAAATAACCTCTGCATATGGGTCCAATCAGACAAGGGGTTGCCCAGAGAATAAGTGTGTGCTGCGGAGGGTGAGCCAACAGTCACTGATTCTTATTGTATTGTTTCCTGCCACCATGTGCTCCAGATTAACACATGGCACAGATTCCCACAGCATTAAACCTTCCTACCCCCCCCCCCCCCCCCCCCCTTAAACCGCAGCATCACCGGATACAGGAAGCAGGTCCTCCTGGGTCAGGCCATAAGGAAAGGTGCCTATTGGGCCGGGGTCTCCCTCCCACCTCAACTGAACTCCTCACCCTCCTCAGTTCTCCCCTCTGGGCAATTTACAGCTCTGCAAGTGTCCTGACGTAACTGATTAGTACATGGACAGACTAAGAAAGGTGACCCCACCTCCTGCTGGTGTGACCGACTCTTGGTTGATCTGATTTCGTATTCTTCCTTTTTTCCCACAAACCATTATTGCTGTGATAATTAATTTGACCCTCTGCTTGGAAGATCTGAATGGCCGGTCCAGTTAAGCTGCCACTCAAACTCAACTGAGTCAGAAACACAGAAAAACAAGAGCCATTAAAATAGTTTTGCTGTGGATGCTCTCATTCCTCCCCCGGATGATGCTTTGATTGCATCTCATCATCACAACATGTGGTTTGCAACAGATTTTGTTCCATGTTACAGATGAATGAAAATCCGTCAGCAGACACTGATTATTTTATATATTACCGGCGAGATTTCATGGTCTTCCTCCCAGACCACCCTGCTGGCAGCCGCTGTCATTCCATCATTCTCAACTGCACTTAAGCTCTTCACAATGCTCCTCAAACTCTGATATACAATACTTAATATCAGCGCATAACCTTAATTGAGCTCTGGGAAAATCCTTCTTGAAAATGTATTTCTCAATCACTTATTATCTTGTAGGAGCCAAAAAACGTTGCCACTTCCACAGCAGTCTGTCATCTCTATCCTCAGCTGCAGAATGCTAATCCAATGGGGGGGCGATTTTCAGTATGTGTCCATCCATTCTCACTCGATCATCTTGCTGCCATTTGAGCCCACAAGTCTATTCTAGCAATCCTTTTCAGCATTTCTTGTTAGAGGTTTAACAAATGACAAAGGCAATTTTGTCTGTGCAGTTTTATTAGCCCGTGGGAGCCCCTGTCTCTGACCCCAGAGGCATGTTAGAGAAGCGGCCAAGTCAGGACAGAAACACTGGCGGAGGACTTGTCCCCCAGCAAGCCTGACAAAGTAGTTGTCTGTGTTGGAGGGGGAGAGAGGGCCCTGGCCAGATACACTGTTCAAATGAAATGGCTTGTGGTTTTTCTGGCCTACTTTCTCACTGTCTTTAGCTGATACAGCCTTTATAGGTGCTCAGAGGATAAATAAAACTGGTTAGACAATATGTGAATGACTGTGCTTTGTACTCCATAAACCTGCCACTGGATTCAACCGTTTGTCCTTACTGACAGTCCTATCCAAAGTAAGCTTTACAAGTATGAGACTGTTACATTTAATGGTTATTTGAGTATTCAATGTGTTGGTATTTTCAGCATTTTTTCTTGCATGTGTGATCACTCCTGTGGAGTTACTGTTAGTCATGGAAACTTTGAATAAAAGGGTCATTAAGGGTGGTTATGAAACTTAAAGTCAACAAAAGTTGAAATCCTGCTTCTGACTCTAGTAATGTTAGGTCACAAATCTGTCAGTCATAATGTTACAAACTTAATGACTTGCAGAACAATAAAAGGACAGACTACATTTCATTTTACTGAAAAGTATTTACTTTTTATTTCTTAATTGAAAAGAAACATATGCCGCTTTTAACATTTCTCTTTAAAGGTCAAAAGAGGCCATTACATACCGAAGACAAAAAGACATGAAGAGTTATTTGTATTGACCTTTATGTGACCCTAAAGCAGATCTAAACGTTTACCATTGACCAGTGGCCAATCATACTGACCAGAAAACATATTCACTAAAGTGTGTTCAATAAACTCTCTGATTGTGTTTTAAACTTTGCTTTTTAATTACTGATTTTAAATGTCAGTTCTTAATGTCTTTCATTTATTGTAAAGCACTTTGAATTGCCTTGTGTTGAAAAGTGCTATATAAATAAACTTGCCTTGCCTTAAACAATTATAGTCAGACTTGCTCTTCAACAGAATCAGACTTTCAAATCAAATCAAGTTTTATTTATATAGCACATTTATAAACGATTTTTGGTCGAGCCAAAGTGCTGTACATATAATAAAAAATAGCCTACAGTAGAGACACTTTACTACTATTACATTGGCCTCCTTTGTTTTCAAAACGCAAAGAAATGAGAAACAGCTAACAAATGTTGCCTTTAAATAGCGTGTGATGGGGAATTGGAAGTGCTGTAACATGGTCAAGTATAACAGCCTCAACTTCCAGGTCTCTCTCACACTGATATACAGCATACAGTCCCTCCACTGAATTTACTGATACTTGTACTTTCATATTACCTAGATCCACAGCTGATGTCAAACACATTAAAATGCATTCAAACATGTTGACTGAGAAAGGGAGTCAACTCCTTCAGAATGGGGTCAAAAAGCCTCTTTAAACCTGAACTCTGCCATCTCACAAATTGAAAACTCCTTTGGCTCTTACAGTACATGTTACGAGTTTGAAAACACTTTTAATGGATTGTCTTATCTGTACACTGTTTCTGGTTCTGTTATGATGGGAGTGATTTCTGTTGTTATTGTAAGGTAACAATGGTAGTGATGTTTAGTTTGGAACGACGGCGGCATATTTACAGAGGCGGTCTGAAAGTCTATTGTGCAGAGTGACATTGTAAATATTAATGCTGTGCTCGCCTCTCTGTGTGCTCTCGCCTCCAGATATTGATGAGTGTGTCAATGAAACCATGTGTGGGAACCACAGCTTCTGCGAGAACACGGATGGCTCCTTCCGCTGCCAGTGTGACCAAGGCTACAACAACCCCCCCGGAGACATGAGCAAATGTGTCGGTCCGTAACCGCTCTACAATTAATATTACTTGTTCATTATTGCTTAAAAGATATTCCTATAAAAACACCAAAACCAACAGTGAATTAATCATATTTATAAGTTTGTGACGTTAAACCCTGATGTATAATTTTCCTCTGTGGAGCTACATTTTTGTTCTCACTAGAGCTCCAAGTGTGTATAAATATGCGTGTGAAAATAGAACCCAATAATTGTTATTTTTGAGAAATGTTTTCTAAAAACTGCCTTGCATAACGAATTTAAGAAACTATTTAGCCTTTTTGGAGATTAGAGTATATATTTATGACCCATTTTTAAAGATATAATCTTCTTTAGGAACCAATAGGCTTGAGGTTGAGTGCTTCTTTACTAAGCACTCAACTACTTGAGTGCTACTACTTACTATCATTAGACTTATATTTGTATTATTGTGTGTGTTCTTTGTCACTTTTATAGAGCAAAACCTCATTATTTTAGTTTAAAGAGAGATTAACTGATTTCTTCCAAAATCTAATTACAACATAAACTCTAATCTCAACATTATACAAATACATTTAGAATCAATATATAATTAATCACTGCAAATAAAGGTATGATCTATAATGCACAATTTCTTTCTATCAATTGGGTTTGAATTTATCTTCCAGTAACGAGATAATAAAAAATAGTTTGTCTGACCTCCCCATGACCTTGTTGAATGCATGCCTGTGCGTACGTGCCTGAAACCCTTTACTGACCTCACGCCCTCTCTCCTGTCTTTCTCAGACGTGAACGAGTGTGAGATGAGCTTGGCGCTGTGCGGGGAGGCCCTGTGTGAGAACTTCGATGGCAGCTTCCTGTGCATCTGCCCCAACAACAATGAGGAATTTGATCCCCTCACCAGCCAGTGCCGCTCCCTGGGTAATGGAGCAGGACTAGCACTCACAGTGACCCACGGGACTTAATTCTCCATCCCATCATTGGGAGACGAAATTTTCCCTGATTTAATGAGCCGTCTCTCATTATCCAAACAAGGGTGACGAGGTGGACACGGCCCACTCCTCGTCTCTTGACCTGGCTGTTTCCATGTGTTTTATAGGCTGGGGTTATGGTTGGGTGGACTATGAAAAAATTATATTAGCTTACTCCCTCGAATGAAATGAAGTCACTCCTCCTGTGGAGCCAAGTAGATACCCTGAGGGCTTTGTTAATGATAACCTATATCCTCACCAAGACAAACAGGGATAAGGTGCAGCTATGTGCAATTAGAGCTGAAGACACATTGCACAAAATCATCTCAAGTGCAGAGGTTACAGATACGCAACATATTGCAATTTCCGAATGACAGTAAAGTGCTTTCCAGCCATGGAAACACCATCACCACTCCAGCGTGATAGGCGTATGTGTACACGAATTGGGCGTATTTACATTATTAAGCGGCGCGCCCTCAGCGGGGATGTTATTTCTTCTGCCTGGGCACTAAACCCCAGCTATGCCTTTGTGTACCTTTTTGCCACATTCCGCTGTTTGCTTTTGACGTGTGTTAATCAATCATGTGAGAGTGAATGGTGTGTTGACTCACATGCCAGTGTTTCCATTTGGCTAAGCCTGCAGCTTAAGGGTGAAATGCCTGAACCCATGCCTCTAGACAAATGAGCCGGCTCAGCAGTGGCAGGCCAGGGTAATGCACTACTGCTGGAGGCATGTGGCCACTCAATGCTGATACTGAGGATTTCCTGTTAATGTATGTCCTTGGAGATCCAATCTCAGTAGAGAGATTTGAGATTAGTTTTCCCTCCTGATGTGCCAAATCCCCACCATGTCGTGAAGAAATGCTTCCTTTGTTCCTCTACAGCTAACTCGACGCCTGCTCCTGGCGTCCCTCCATCAGCTTCCTCAGCCGACGAGAGGAAGGAGTGTTACTACAACTTGAACGACGCCAACTTCTGCGACAACGTCTTGTCTCGCAACAGCACCAAGCAGGAGTGCTGCTGCACAGTGGGGGCCGGCTGGGGGGACAACTGCGAGATCCACGCCTGTCCTCTCCAAGGAAGAGGTACAACAAGAGGCCCAGAAAAAAGTGAACTTAGTCAGTGGATGTTGTAATGTGTGTTTTTATTATCTGCTACCTCACTAATGAATCCAACTCCTATTTTCCAGATGATTTTAACCAGTTGTGCCCTCACGGCACTGGATTATTACCCCAGCCCTTGTCCTTTTCACAAAACCTGGGAGAACACCGCCCTTACATAGGTACGCATAAATACTTACTCGTTTTAATGATATATCCAAGTTTCTATAGCTTCCCTTCTCACAACACTTTAAATTGGCACGCAAAGGTGCAATGTCAGCAGACCGTGTTAACCTACACCTGCATTACGTTTTAAATCCAGATAGACAGACATAATGCCTCACCACATTTACGAGGCTGTCTCCACAGTAAGCCCAGGTTTAATGTGATCGTGCCTTTATACCTGACTAACTGCTGCAACCACAGTGTGTCTTCACATCTTATTACAAGAGGAGGGAATGACGTTTACAGCAGGGTGCCAATGTGTGGCCTGTTGTTACTTTTCATCTCGTTTATGTAATACCAAGGTGTGATTCTGTCTCGTCCCTCAGATGCAAATGAGTGTGAGATGTTTGGATCGGACATTTGTAAGAACGGACAATGTTTAAATCTATTTTCCACCTATACCTGCTATTGTCGCTCCGGATTCTACTATGACAACATCCGGCTTGAGTGCGTGGGTAAGGAGATCATCTTTTTTGACATTTGAAAACCAAATCCATATACATGTAACAGCAACAAATAAACTGGAATGTCATTGTACAGGTATTAATCAAATTAAACTGTTTTCAAGATTGTTGGTCACCCATGTCTAATGCCAGTGTTTTAAATAAACGTTAGTGCGTTTAACCCACATGCTGTATCCTCAACCTGTATGCATTACAGTAATCCATTATTTTTGAAACATCTGATGTAGTGGCATTCTATAAAAAATGCTTTCAATAATAACACTAATGCTTTCAAATGTAATTTTTATTTTTTTATTTTAAATACTTACATACTTTCACTTAAAGGTCCCATGTCATGGCCATTTCTACTGATCATAATTCCATTGTTGAGGTTTAATAAAATTGATTTATATTGTGCAATTTTCCAAAATCACATTGGTTTCTCATACAGCATCTCTGTCCTAAATGGCTTGTTGGAGCTCCTGCCTCCCCCTCCCTATGAGCCCAGTGGCCGTCTGCGAGACAGCGAGACACAGCGAAACCCAGCCCGAAACCAGCCCTAACACACACACACACCCGCAGCCTGGCTGGGAGTTTGTGTGTGTGATCACACACCGACTCACAGCCTTGTGTGTGTGTGAGGAAGACTTAACCTAACGGCTCCGCGGACGTAACGTAACGGCTCCATGGATTGGTCCATTTGGACCAATGGGTCCATTTGGGTATGGGCACGTCACTGTACCCAGGAAGAAAACACTGGAAAAAGAGAAATCTCCAACGAGGCCTATATAGAGTGCCACAGTGACAGCCATAAAACCCGGAAGTAAGCTGCGCATGGGTTCCTTCGACATAAAAGCAATGCAATTTCTCCATAGGATTTTGGAAAATAGCTCGAAATAAGGTCTGTGGTTGACACACATTTGAGAGACGGATCAGGTTTTGTTCAGTCGGATAATATCCACATGTCTACCCTACTTTTATAATTGTATAATCATCAATCTAATCGGTAGATTTATGATCGATAGATTTATGATTCGAAAATTGAATTTTTGGAACCCATGCGCAGCTTACTTCCGGGTTTAATGACGCATCACTGTGGCACTCCGGCACACGTGATACGTCCCAACTATCGTCTCCGTATAGTCACAGCTGTGTGTCTGTATTCAGCAGGATGTAGAGTAAAGTTGTTATATATATATATAATACATATAATGGCACTGTTCTAGCGGCAAACACTTAAGAAAGAACATGTGCTGTATCAGAAACAATGCGCGGCGTGTTTTGGGAGTAATATGCTGTGTGTTTACATTAGCAAGCATGCTAACACTCAGAGCTAGTCATGGAGCTAACGCTGTAGGCTACTGGAGAGAATGTGTGTAACGTAATGTCCTTGTCCTGCAAGAGAGAGGTTTGAGCTCCACACTGTTTCAGAAATAATGCTTGGTTAGTGGTTAGGAGCATTTACATGACATTTAAAGGTAGGGTAGGTAAGAATGGAGAAACCAGCTCGAGTGCGCTAGAATTTGAAAGTACGCAGCCGGAAAAAAAATCTGCCCCTTCCTTCAGACTTCCTTACAGAGCCCCTCCTCCAACACACACGAACGCGCGCATGACCAATGAGGGCACGAGATAATTTTGTGCACAAGATGGAAGGCTGACAGGCAGGTAGGCCATCCAGTTATTTTAGCAGGGCCGGCTAAAATAATTGGTCGTGCTTTTTACAGCGCCACATTTTTTTATGTATTTATTGTCAAAACATTTAATGTATTCATTGCTATCGGATGTTAAGAGCATTCCATGTAATATAACCAGAAGTGTTTCTGAAGGGAATTACCTACCCCTCCTTTAATCACCGCAACGTTTAGCTGAGATCTCCCAGTAGCAGGGGGAAGCTGATTGACGCTACAAAGGGGCGTGGCTAGCAGCAGAATCAGCCTTTTTGCAACAGGGCTGCAAAAGATGGGTATGAGCAGTATGAGGCATGGCTACAATGGGTGATCTGTTTGGTATTTTAAGCAAAAAACGTCACAGACATGCTTTGTATAGGTATGGCCCTACAATATATTTTTCCAATATAGCATAATAGGTTCACTTTAAGTAAGGTTTTGAATGAAGGACATAGAAGTGGAGTATTGTGCACTGTTAGTACCAGTAGCGTGGCGTGGGGAAAAAATTAGGGGAAGCCAATAATACGTCCTTTCTTTTGGGTCGGGGGTCTGGTGGTCAATGTAATAACGTAACCAGATGAGTGATTACAGCACCCGGTATCATTTTACACACATTTGTATCAGATGCAGGACTTACACACGCCTGTTATCTAACCGACAGGTCCGCACGCACTCTCCAGCCGAAACTCTAATAAGCATTCATTCACAAACTACATCAGGAGACCTTGAACGTTTTACGTCCGATTCGCTCCTTTTTTCCTCGCTGTACACAGCTCTGGGCATTGGCCTGTCATCAGATTGTATTTGTTGTTGCTGCTGTAGCGGAAGTTTAGTACAATTATTTTTGATGAAATACTCCAAATCTCCACCCTCCATAATTGCACTTGCTTCAGTTGCTTGCTACTTTCTAACGGCGGTGACAGGGTCGGCGTCATGGGGGGTCATTCGCGGGCCATGCCCCCCCAAATGAGTCACTGTGCCCCCCCAACGCAGGGTGGGCAAGCCTTGCCACTTTGCCGTTTAAAAAAAAATCATATAAGTGAAAACGTTTCCACTAAAGGTTTTTTGTGTGAAATACGTCAGAAATAAAGAATACAAATATAAAACACAGCCTGAGCTGTGCTCACTGCTGCTCTCTGATTGGTGTGTTGCTTGACCAATGACCCCCGACCTTTGTTTTGTTATCATTACGTGGCTGTGTGTTTAGATGAAAGCCCGGTGGCGATCTGTTCATCTGTTACACTGATTATACAGTAAAGCCATCGAAAATAATATGATATACAGTACAAGTACAGTACAAGTAGCCTACTTCTGGGTCTCTGTGTTTCATTCAAGCTCGGCTCTGTGTGTGTGTGGCACGACCGCATTTTGTGAGTGCGCAAGCGGTAACGTGGAATGTTGATGTTAGCATCTGGTTAGCTAGCTATGCTAACGGATATAAAGAGCTGTTTCTACACCAAGGTGGAGGAGAGTCCTCTCCTGTCAGACTGAGAGGATCGTATAACCTCAGCTCAGTGAGGTAAGGACTCTCTCAGTGTTTAGATAGTTAACTTTAGTGTAGGTTATCAGTGGGTCTCAAACGGTTTGGTCACCATTTATGTAAACAAGTATTTGCGAGGAATACCTTTATATGATCATTATAGTTATTAAAGAATAAGAGAATAAATAAAAAACGGGTATGAAATACTATAGGACAGTAACACAAGAATACAGTTTAAAAGGGGAGTGATTCGTAAAATATCCATAAAGAATTTAGTAAATCTGTGTACAGTTCTGTTTCATATGGGTGTTGAGAGATGTAGGCTATCCATATATCTCTTCATGTTGCTCTCAAAGTGCACCAGATTGATGCATTTAACTTCAATATTTTTAAAATAATCTTCCCGGGGGAGCATGCCCCCAGACCCTCCTAGAGAAGGTTAGGTCCACACCCACCTAAAACATGTTCACATGGATAGGATACTAAATACATTTGCACCCTTTTTATATGGTGGCCTATGTCCTTATATGTTTCTGTTTTGGTGGTCGTGCCACAACCGTGCATGTATGCACAGGTCATAGGTGCGCTATACAATAGCACTACACCCTGCAATGTGTGTGAAAGACAATAGACTTTACAGCATGTTTTTTGAAGTTGCGTTGGTGTTTGTGTGTTGGTTGTTGACGGCAGTGTGTGCCCCCCCTTTGTAAATGATTTCCCCCCCATTCGATTTGTTCTAGAGCCGACCCTGGGCAGTGAGAGTGGTGCAGTGGCGCTATCTATCTTCTATCGATTAGATTTATGATTCTGAGGGTAGACATGTGGATATTATCCGACTGAACAAAACTTGCATTTATCTAACAGTTTCGTTTTCCACTGACCTTATTTCGAGCTATTTTCCTAAATCCTATGGAGAAATCCCATTGCTTTTTTGTCGAGGGACACCGAGCGCAGCTTACTTCCGGATTTTAGGATGCGTCACTGCAACACTAAGTTGATGCGATTTGATTGGATTGTGAGGCAAGGGAAGCCAGCCGCCTCTGGCTTCCCTTGGCATGGCCCTGACCAATCACAGGTTGGCAGGGGCATCACGTGAGCCTCATCTGATCGGTCAATCCCTCAACAAAAAAATCACCAAGGGAAGCCAGATTCAGCTGGCCTCCTCTCGCAACAGTGAGTGCAATCTACTGTTTCACCATAACATCTAGAGGGGCGCTGTTTGTTTCACTCTTTGTAAAATACTCAATGAGAATGGGGGAGAGACGGGCGGCAGCAACACACAGCAAAGGAGAATTATCGAAACAAAACAAAGTAATTTTATTTATTTATTTAAATTATTACTACAATCCGAAAAAACAGGGGAAGCCTGGCTTCCCTTGGCCTCCGGGAGAAAACGCCACTGGTTAGTACATTTACTGAATATTTCTCCTACCACGTCTTCAGTTAGCCTATCATGAGGACAAGGAAAGATTGCCTGGGTAAAATAGGAAAATAAAACGGTTAAAATCAAAACAAACTAAAAATGGCAGAATGAAAAAACAAATGTTCTTCATTTGTTCCATCAAGCGATTTATTTAAAATGTTGCGTCTCAATCATTTATAACCACTTTTGCATGATAATGTATTCATATTGTAATTCCTTTGTGCCTTACTTTGTTAATTTTAGATTACGATGAGTGTGGATTTGGGACCGCCTGTGAGAACGGAGCGTGTGTGAACACGGCCGGCTCTTTCAACTGTTTCTGCAGCCCTCCGTTAGTCCTGGACAGCACGAGGCGGCGCTGCATCGGCCTCAACACCACAGAAGGTGTGAAAACAGTTCAAAATGCTTATTTGCTTTTATTGATCCGGTAGTACTTAACAAAGAGAAGACCTACAAAGTGGTGGAATGATTTTTCACTACCACCGAATAAAATGTTGGTGGTAAAAGAGCCATATGTATTTTATCTCCCTCCCTATTCTATCTCCCAGAAACCATTGACTCTGACCACGATGTGCACATGGATATTTGCTGGCAGCGTCTGGAGGGGGACAACGTATGCGCAAAGCCCCTGCAGGACCGCAGAACTACATACACTGAATGCTGCTGCCTGTTTGGCATCGCTTGGAGTGAACAGTGTGCCTTCTGTCCCCAAAAAGACTCGGGTGAGAAGCAATTTGCACTTAAGAAAGTTTAATAGTTTCTGTTTTTTTATGAACACATCATTGTTATCATCCAAAATATAACCCTCCCTGGTGCTGCTCTGTTCAGACGACTACGCAGTGATGTGCAACCTGCCTCGGGAAGGAGGAAGGGACAGTCTGCGAGAGGGGCCAGGGTATGAGTATGGTATGGAGGGGCCGGAGGATCCTGCGGAGCCTTTTGTTCCTCCGTACTGGGACAATTATGGCGGCCCCTCAGGACCCTATGACATTCCAGAGGGAGTTCCTCTCTTCAACGACTACGGCGTGCAACAGCCACCCTCCCGTGTGCCCATTGCAAGACCACGGGAGCAGCAGCCACGGCCTTTGGACCCCTACGCTGGTGGGTTTACACACCCTGAGGTTTTCATCCCCTATGTGTAGCATTTTGTATAACATACACAGTAATATGCCGACTTTTCTAGTGCTATAAATAAATTATGAACTTCTGTTTGACAACCGTAACACACATGTGTCCCCTTAAGATGGGTAACCGCTGTCCACTGATGTCATTAAACTCATCAAGATGCAATAGCTTAATGGAAAATTACATGATTTTAGTACAATTTTGCATTCAAATGTTATTTTCTCTATACTATTGTTTTAACAATAGGCATAATCTGCCATACAAAGCTTTATGGTGATTTTCAACTCATTGTGTAGCCGTCTGCCACACCACTTTACTGTTTTCGTCCACTCTCATCTCTCATACTGTCCTTTTCTGCATGTATAGCTATATACCATTACCTTCTACATAACGCATCGCATTAGAAAGACAAGATTAGAGACCAGTTTAGGAACATAGCGGAACATTTAACTGCAGAACCAGATATTACCTTCAATACTTGGTAGAGAACTAAACGGGAGCTAATAGAAAGAGAATATTAAACCATTATTTGTCAGGTGGCCAGAAAACAACTCTAAATAAATGATAACGTTGCATCGTAACTGCTCGATGTGTAAACAAGAGGTTCTATCTTAATAACAATATTTTTTATATGTGTTTCCTTCCATATTTCTGGGCCAATCAGGGCGCTACGATGCCTTTGAGGGTCTCCGAGCGGAGGAGTGTGGAATCCTGAACGGCTGTGAAAATGGCCGCTGTGTTCGTGTGCGAGAAGGTTACACCTGCGACTGCTTTGACGGTTACGAACTTGACCTCAACAAGATGGCCTGTTTAGGTGAGTTATTTCCACGGCATCTTTGATATCTTTTTTCAACGGACCACCCACATGTAGATTTCAAAGGGCAAATGTTCAGGGACTTTGTAGAATCAATAGGGAATCACAATTTGGTGTTGAATCTCCAAATCAAACCGCAGAGAGGTTCAGGTTAAAGCCTTCTGGAGCCGGGTCTCGGATTAATTTCAGTGAGGTAACCCTTCTTGCTGTAGATCATCAAACTCAAGGAGACCTTTGAATTTAACAACCTTGCATTAAGTTATGTTTTATGGGGAACTAATGAAAGCAGTGTACTTCTCAAAACCATCGTATGTACCCTTTGGCCAGAAATTCCCTAGTCACACTCTGCCAAGAATAAGGAGTCCTTGAATCTCAGCCACTTGGTGTATTACATGAGATACTATATCTTTTAAGTGTACTGTGTTTGTTTTGTGAGAAAGTGAGACCGTCTTGTTGTAATGAAGTGATTACAATATTCTGTCTGCGTACAAGTTTATCAGCTCCAAGGCCAGACATTTTCCTGAGAAAAGTGATTGATTCCCAACCAGTGGAAACATGTGGGATCTGTGCAACTCGTGCCATGCCTCCTTTTATAAATATCACCATGAGCATTTCCCCCTAGCAGAACATGACATAAACAGAAGGAGGGTCATTTGAGATGGACTGCTGTGAAATGACAAATCAGACCTCCCGTGTTGAAAAAGGGAAAGAAAAATCTGTCGAAGGCCAAAAAGAAACATAATCCAGTGCATTGTTAATTTTACCATCATTCTGAACTGCTCTGCACTCGAGTGCTCCAATCCAGCCGACACGCAACATGACGGCATGTTTGATTAAAGATATACAAGATGAGATATTATGCAACATATCATACTTCAAATGTGAATTTTTTGTGATGGTAATTTAAACAACCTTGTTTATTGCTAATAAGATTGCATACCATTTCATCCATCTGACCCCCAGGCCCATTTAGGAGCTGAGGAACTGTACAGAGGGCGCAACCAACGATAATTTTTTATTAGCAATGAACTGACAATCATTTGTTCAACTGACAATTTGGTTATGATATCGCCTTGTTTAATCTGAACCACAGTTTAAAACTGCACAATATCAAATGTACTAATGTAAAATGAAGACCAGCAGCAAATCCTTGAATTTGAGAAACTGAAACCAGATGTTTGACATTTGATTTAGACATTAATTTTTGGTGATTAATGGATCATCAAAAAAGTAGAAGATTCAACCAACCTATGCAGCTCAAAGATTACAGACACAGGCGCCATTTCTGCTGATGGGCCCGTAAATAACCGTCTGCAAAAACCACATTGGGAAGTAATTACCACTGCCACTAAAACTGTTTTTTCTTAAGTTAGAAAACGAAAGGTTGAAAGGAAGGATAAGAGGAAGGAAGGAAGGAGGAGAGAAGGAAGAAAGGAGAGAAGGAAAAGGAAGGAAGGAAGGAAATAGGATAGAAAGAAAGGAGAGAATGAAGTAAGGAATGAAGGATAGAAAGAAGGAAGAACAAAAAGACACATTTTTTATAAGAACAAAAGACAGACAGAACAGTTGACAGAACTGAATTCAAAAGTATGAATTACTTTGACATTCCAGCATCCCATTCCTCGTATACCCATAAGGCCACTCAGCAGCAGATGTGGCGCAGGCAGCTGTTTCAGCTGTGAAATCTCTGTGCTGACCTCATGTCTCCTATTCCTGCAGACATAAACGAGTGTGAGGACATCAGTGACAAGGTGCCCTTGTGTCAGAACGGGCTGTGCAGCAACACAGAGGGCTCGTACAAGTGCACCTGTCTGAGCGGCTTCTTGGCCTCCGCAGAGCCGCACAGATGCATCCCAGAGATCCCAGCGTCTGGGCTTCTGGAGACAGGAAACTGAGACAGACTGCTCCCTCAAAGATCCCCTTACACCCCTCTGCCCTTTTCCCCAGGGCCCTGGCACTAAACCTCCAACAGTAACGCTTAGACGTCCAAACTCATTTCCCTACACACACAAACACACACACTCGCATTCAGCACAGAACACATTCATATCCCCCTCACACACATCCAACAGGAGCAGGAATTGTGCAGTGAATGTATAACATGGGATTTAGTATTCACCAGATATCCATTTGCCTTAAAGGGATTTTGTGGACTGATCTATTTTTATTCAGTAACCCCAGGCAGTTTGATATGCAGATATATTTTCCACATTATTTTCTCTGTCACTTTCTTTTGTTGTGTTATTTATTTCATTTACATGACGGGCCTCTGCAAACTAAGAAAGCGACCTTTTTCAGTGGGCATACATGGATTTCTCCTTTTGTATTTGTCTCACCTCAGAGACAGAGTGGGGAGATAATAAATGTGTTTATAAAAGAAGGAATGTTAGAGAGAATCAGCCACTCATAAATCAGCTTGTGCCTCACCATCAAACCTCACACCAGTTTTCTCACTCACTCATTGTAATTAGCATCGACCTTGGACTAAATGGACCCCAGGGTTGATAGACATCTGAAATTAAAGGAAAGAAAGTTTTCCCACAACCACCTTTCTCTTCTTCAAGATTAACCACGAGCTGAAGAATCTCTGGACCCAGAAGTGAGGAATGAACACAGCCAAACTACACATTCAAAACGTCAGCCTTTAAGTGGACCTAGAAAGACTGTAGATGTATATGATGATCTATGTAATGTTTTAAAAAAAAAAAAAGGTGCAATAGGTATAACCTGCCTTCCTCTGTTTAACACCCTTTTTATGATCTTAATACCAGCAATGAAGTAGGAAAACATGGACTCGTTTGCTGATCCCGTTTTATTTTATTTTTAACAGTATTAACTTGTTTTTTATGTCTGTGAAAACCATATGTACCATGACCTATAGGCTACATTCTAGCCTTAAACCACAGGAAGGTAAGTTAGTTAAAATTATCCACAAATATCACAGCTTGAAGTGAAAGTTTTATGAACCAGGGTCACACATCAGATCATTCCCACGTGTGCATCTCGAATGCATGTAAAGACACAGGCTTTGTTGGAGAGGTTTGGTATATTTTGTACAGATCTAGTACTATGTATTATTTTTGTTACATATTCTCTTAATGCATTATAGCACAACCAATATTTTGTTTGACATAAAACGTAAAAATGTAAGAAAAATCTGGCATTATAGCTTTGTAGATTTATACATGTCTGTAAAAATGTTTTTTGTTTTTTTTATGTATGAGGAGAGTGGCTGACACTGTACCAGAGGAACTGTGTGTATACCCTGCCCTGTGGAGCAGACAATGAAATATATTTTTTTGGAAGTGGCAGCACTGTTCTAAAAGACATTTTGTCTCTTCAAGTTCATTACAAAGACAATGCTTTTGAAATGCAAGCACCAACTCCTGTGCGTCACAACTCTATGGCTAAATATTAGTAATTGTGAACATTATTTCTTTTAGTCTCTGTTTGATCCTTATGTCATGAATGTATCATAGACAGTACCATGTGGTTTCTGAACTCCCACTTATACCTTTTTGTGTTTTATATTCAGGTTTAGAATATAATGGCACTATTTGTCTAATGGACTAAACTTCTTCCAGCAGTGCAGAAACATAAAAGTCTCATTCCAACATGGAGAAGGACTAAAGTTGATGATTATACTCTTAACATGCATTTGTAACCTACAGTATAAACCTAGAGTTGTACAAATGTCTCCACTTGATGTCCACTTTTCTGTGCTGTATTCATCAGCTAACCCGGATCGGAAGTCTAACATTTAGGTCAAAGTTGGAATATTTAAAGCCTTTCAAAACTGCAAATAACTTGCAATAAATGTCTTGTTTTAAAGCTGTGGTCATTGGAAATGTATGCTCATTCATTTTGTTTACCTCTTGACTGTAATCACTATCAGTCATCAAAAATAAAAACTTAAAAAATATATAAATCTCTTTGGAAATGTACTTTGACAAATGGTACAAAACACATGTATATTAACATAGTACATTTTTGCTGCCAGAGACGTTTATTTCTACCAAAACAATAACAGTAAGTGTGTCAGTTGTAGTAACTTTTAACGTGGGAGGTAACAAGTCAGATGTGTGTGTTTGGCTGCGAAAATAGCTGTATTCAGATCCTTTACTGGAGTAAAAGTAGTAATACCACAAAGTAAAAATTCATGAATTGTTACTTCGTAACGTACTTTAAGTTATCGAAAGTATGAATGGAAATACAATACAAGATTTTTACATCGGTAAATACTATTATTATTGGATTATCAAATCATTGTTTTTTAATGAATTGGCATATAAGCAACATTGTAATGGTACAGGTAGTTAAGGCAGAACTAACTTTACCTAATTCATACACTTTTTGGCAGTTTAATTTATCATAATGTGACCCTTCATGTTATATCCGTATTTGTTTTGAGTGTAAAAAGATAATATATATAATAAAATGCTGCTATAAACTGCCAAATAAATGAAGAGCAGAGAGCAATATTATCTTATAATTCCTCTGAAATGTAGTTAAATTGTAGCATTAAGAAGCACAACATTTAAATTGTATTTACAGAAAACTTGAGCAAAAGAACTTATTTTAATTTATTTACCAGTGGTTTTAACCCTTGTGTGGTGTTCGGGTCAAATTGACCCGATTTCCATTTTCAATGAATAAAAAAATATATAAGGATATTTTCGTTCAACCTGAAATTCAATGGCCGGAGCTTATTTATTGTGAAGGACATGTGGAATTGTTTTTATTTTTTTCCACTTATGAAAAAATGCCCACCCGCATTTATGTCCTTCATAAGAGGTTCGGGTCAATCTGACCCGGATACAATACCAGGACAGACAGACAGAGAAAAACACAGAAACACAATTGTATGCATAGAGAAGCTGTTTGATCCTGTTTTCCCTTGATCTTTACCCTTTGTAGTGTGTACACAAAACTATCCTACATTATAAACATTTTAGATCTTCCAGAAATGTATAAACATTTTACATTTTCTCGCACTGTCCCCCCTCGCACCTGCATGCCGGAGGAGGGACTAAACAGAGACATAACCTCAGTGTAGTAACAGTGTAGTGCAGAACTACAATTATCTACCAACAAAATAGCCAAAAGATATTCTGCTCAGATCCTTGGAGCTAATAATGGATGAGAGTGAGTGGAATGCATTAGAGGAACACGGTGAAGTGGAACAGGAAGACATTTCTGAAGATGAAGATAATGTGGAGGTAAACTCAGAATTTGACAGCAAATTGGAAGATGAACTTGACTCAGAGCCAGCTGCTGGAAGACCCCCACAGCCAGCCGCAAGAAGACCCCCACTGCTAGCTGTGAGGTCTGTGGACCCTCAAAGGACTCCAAGACACAGACTACATGCAGCAACTGCAACAAGTACATCTGTGCTATACACACGAAGAAGTTCTGTACATCATGTGTTTCCTAAACGGACTTGCCCATTGACTCACATGATGTTCTGCAGTGTCACTTCATCAATATATTTTTCGGATATACTGTATTTTATGAATAGTGACTGTTAATTGTTTTTTGTGTTTATATTTGTTCTATGTAATTTATATGAATGTTTCATTCTCTCTATATTTCACAGCCAAATACTTTTGGATGTGTGGTTCTTGTGTTCCAATTGCTGCTAAATTGCTTTATTTCCTTCTGGGCTTTGATTATTATATGACAGATTAAAAATAATAAACATTAATGAAAAAATGTTTCATTTACATTAGTCCTAAAAGAAAAAAAAAGCATGAGAAAAATGTAAACCTAGTTTTTATTACAGTGTATTTTTTTTTTAACATAAATTACATTTTTATCACAAAAAACGATGGACACTTCCATTGTTACATTTGATCTAGCAAAGAGTATTTTCAAAAACTAATCATATATTTCATTTATGTTGTTGGGGAATGAGTTAAAGACAATATATATAAGGAATTGTGCATGTTGAATTTAATTCTGTATTTTTTTAAAACCCTGAAATATGTCCCGGGTCAATGTTTGACCCGAACATTACCAAAGGGTGCGAAATGTGAACATAACACAAGGGTTAAGGTATTTGACTACAGATATGAACCCATGGCATTTTATCTTTGTGAGTCTAGATAAACTTAGAACTTGGGACAGGGAATGCCAGGTGGATTAAATTGTACACAACAGAAGAGAGAGAAACAAGTTAGTTTCATAAAGCATCTTTGTTAGTATTACAAATATGTATTATACTATATCGCCCTCTTGTGGCCAAATAGCACTGCACACCACTACTTTTCCATCTCGACCATAATATTTCTCCCATTGGTTAAACGGGGACGAGAAGATATTCCAGATGGATTCTGGGTAAATGTGTTTACACCTCAACCACCAAGCCAACCTAAATTACGCAGTGGAATACATTTCCCAGAAACCACCTCGCTTAATACGTGTTTGAGTCGAACTGCAACCTCCCGTGCTATCGCTGTGTTGCTAATGTAAATCTTTTAACTGTTTGAGCCGATAGAGACCTTTAACAATTATCATATTTTTTTGTGAGGAATGCCGACATTTAGCCAGTGGACACTTGGTTAGCAAGCTAGGATAAGTATGCTTTTATCGTTGAAATTGTATCAATAGCCTGGCTACACTGTAACAAAATAGTATGTGTGATAATTTGTTGACTAGGAAAGGTGAGACATTCTCTGTCAATATCGCCTTTTTTATTACGTTGCAATGTTGACGACTCACATCTGTTGCTCAAGTATTATATCTTGCTAAAAACTAGCTATGCTACATTTAGATATTAGTCCCAGACAACACAGTTCATCCAGATATCAACTTTAGCTATAATATATAGGTGGGAAGTGGACTCTCCCGGTCTGGAAGTGGATCTGGTCCATTTATTACAGGTTGCATTTCCTCATGGCAAAAGAAGAATGCATAACACAATGGAACAAAACAGGGGATACTTCAACACTACGAAACAGGAAAATATGTCTCACCTCAGAAAAGACTCTCCAAGCCCCATCCACCTCTTTGTCAAAAGACAAACACAGTCACACTGCTGGACATTTGTCAGAAGATGACACCCAGTCTTCAAATGGTGCTCAGTTTTCCACCAGAGGAAATCTCAGTAAGGATCCTCCAAGCAGGGTGCTGCTGATGTTGCTGGTGGGGCTGTCTTTCTCCACACGCCTCTACAAGATAACAGAGCCCCCTCATGTATGGTGAGTTAAAGTCATGCATGTACAAAGATTAAGTAGGATCATAATTTGCAATGTTTAAAACACTGATTCATTTTGGTGTTTCAGCTGGGATGAGACACACTTTGGAAAGATGGGGAGCTACTACATCAACAGGACCTTCTTTTTTGACGTCCATCCTCCTCTTGGAAAGGTGGGATGAGATCTTATCCCTTTTGTGTAGCGTCTTCTGGAAAGCGTTTTTATTATGATTATTGATCTCCATTAATGTGTTGCAGATGCTGATTGGTCTTGCTGGGTACATGACCGGTTATGATGGCTCCTTTCCTTTCATAAAGCCTGGAGATAAATATGATCATCACAACTACTGGGGGATGAGAGGGGTATGTTTCTTTCAACACAAGAAAACCTGCTTTTGTCTCATTGATTAAGAAGGAACTTGAATGTATTCATATTGTTTTGTCCCAACTTTAAAAGGACAAGCCATTAAAGGTAGGGTAGGTAAGAATGGAGAAACCAGCTCGAGTGCGCTAGAATTTGAAAATACACAGCCGAAACAAATCTGCCCCTTCCTTCAGACTTCCTTACAGAGCCCCTCCTCCAACACACACGAACGCGCACATGACCAATGAGGGCACGAGATAAGTTTGTGCACAGATGGAAGGCTGACAGGCAGGTAGGCCGTCCAGTTACTTTAGCCGGGCCGGCTAAAATGATTGGTCGTGCTTTTTACAGTACTACGGCTTCCACAGATGTATTTTTTTAATGTAGGCTACTTATTGTCAAAGCATGTAATGTATTACTTGCTATCGGGATGTGAAGAGCATTCCATGGAATATAACAAAAAGTGTTTCTGAAGTGAATGACCTACCCCACCTTTAAGGCTGCTTATTTGTGCGTTCTCCCCCCTGCTTTACAGTTCTGTGCCGTGCTTGGCTCCTGTCTCCCAATCTTTGCCTACCTCATAGTGCTGGAGTTGTCTCAGTCTCAAACTGCTGCCCTCATCACTGCCACCTTGCTCATATTTGGTGAGTAATCTCCTTTTTTAAAAGGTTTGCACAAATTCAAAACATGTTAAAGTTGCAATTGACTGACCGTCAAGCTGTTTATAAGCAGTTTCTTTGGACACATGAAGAGTATGTTGTGTACCTTACGAGCATTTATTTTAATATCAAATTACGCTGTTTGAATAAGGAGAATGAATTTGAGATTAATTTACTGCTTTCTACAGACACTGGCTCTATCACCATTTCTCAGTACATCCTGTTAGACCCTATACTCTTGTTCTTCATCATGGCAGCAGTGCTGAGCATGGTCAAGTTCAACCAGCAAAGATACAGGTAGGATACCACTCAGGCTTCTTTTCAATCTAGTCTCATGCAATGCAGTGGTGAAACTATGTCAGTAGTCCATTCAATAATCAATTAGTTGGCACACAGTAAAATCAACGATGATTCCACTGTCTTTCAGGTACAAATGCAATGCTTGTGATAACTTTTTTAACCTATATCAAATCATTTAAATTCAAAACTGCATACTTTTTTGGCATACAAATAGAAACGACCTGTCGTGGACTCTGCTTGTGTTTTGTTAGGGAAATATGGACAATTGTCTTTATTGAGGAGAATGTCTTTACCAACTGGTTACAATAACTACTAAAGC